TGAGACAGATGGGGGTACCAGCTCATGTGAGAGTAGTGAGGAATGAGGAGGTGGATGTTCTCGCCAAGCAGGCTCTCAAACATCCTAATGTTGAAATTGAATTATTAATTAGTAAAGCAGAAGCCAAAGGGCTGATAAAAACAGTGGTTAAAAACAAATGGCAAGAGTTGTGGAACAGGGAGGGAAAGGGAAGACGCCTGTATAATATCCAGGAAAGGGTGGGTGCAGGGAGGTCCTCGGGTCGAGAGAGAAGGGAGGAAAGTGTAATCACATGGCTGAGACTGGGCCACACAAGGCTGAGACTGGGATACACAAGGCTGAGACTGGGCCACACAAGGCTGAGACTGGGATACACAAGGCTGAGACTGGGATACACAAGGCTGAGACTGGGATACACAAGGCTGAGACTGGGATACACAAGGCTGAGACTGGGATACACAAGGCTGAGACTGGGATACACAAGGCTGAGACTGGGATACACAAGGCTGAGACTGGGCCACACAAGGCTCAACAGTACATTGACATTTGTAGGTACACTTCTGACTGGGAGGTGTGATCACTGTCAGGAGGAGATGGAGACAGTGGAACACATTCTATTTCAGTGCCAGCAATATGGGAGGGAAAGGGAGAGATTATTACACAACATGTAAAGTGTTGGTCCCATGTTTCATGAGCTGAAATAAAACCCAGACATTTTCCATATGCACAAAAAGCTTATTCTGTGCACACATTTGTTTACATCCCTGTTAGTGAGCATTTCTTCTTTACCAAGATAATCAATTTTAGAGAATTTGGCAGTACGTCAAACCGGCCTCACAAACGCAGGCCACGTGTAAACACACCAGCCCAGGACTTCCACATCTGGCTTCTTCACCTGCGGGATCGTCTGAGACCAGCCACCCGGACAGCTGATGACACTGTGGGTTTGCACAAACGAAGAATTTGTGCACAAACTGTCAGAAACAGTCTCATCTGCGTGCTCGTCGTCCTTACGGGGTCTTGACCTGACTGCAGTTCGACATCATAACCGACTTCAGTGGGCAAATGCTCACCTTCGATGGCCACTGACATGCTGGAGAAGTATGCTCTTCACGGATGAATCCCGGTTTCAACTGTACCGGGCAGATGGCAGACAGCGTGTATGGTTTGGTGATGTCAACATTGTGAAGTGTGCCCCATGGTGGCGGTGAGGTTATGGTATGGGCAGGCATTAGCTACAGACAATTAACACAATTGTATTTTATCGATGGCAATTCAAATGCACAGAGATGCAGTGACGAGATCCTGAGGCCCATTGTCGTGCCATTCATCCGCCGCCATCATGTCATGTTTAAGCATGATAATGCATGGCCCCATGTCGCAAGGATCTGTACACAATTCCTGGAAGCTGAAAATGTCCCAGTTCTTCCATCGCCTGCATACTCACCAGATATGTCACCCATTGAGCATGTTTGGGATGCTCTGGATCAACGTGTACGACAGCGTGTTCCCGCTAATATCCAGCAACTTCGCACAGCCATTGAAGAGGATTGGACAACATTCCACAGGCCACAATCAACAGCCTGATCAACTTTATGCGAAGGAGATTTGTTGCACTGCATGAGGTACTGACTGGTTCTGATCCACGCCCCTACCTTTTTTTTTATGTATCTGTGACCAACAGAAGCATGTCTGTATTCCCAGTCATGTGAAATCCATAGATTAGGGCCTAATGAATTTATTTAAATCGACTGATTTCCGAACTGTAAATCAGTCCAATTTTTTAGAAATTGTTGCATGTTGTGTTTATATTTTTGTTCAGTGTAGATTTAAGGAATAATGGTGTTGAAGAGCCAAGCTTAAGTGAACTGCTGAGAAAATCTTCAGGTGATGTAGTATTTAATTATGATGGGTGAGTTCGGAAACAGTGGGACACATTTTGCATTTCCATCTTCTGTAACCTCTTTCGACATCTATCCAACATATTAGCCCAACACATGACACATTTCCAAAATCCTCAAGATGTTTCCTAATTGCAAAAAATAAAATTGATATAATATTCACAGGAGGCATGACACATCCATTTGTGTACACTGAGTCAAAACCATATTTTCAGTTCGCATTTGGTAGACTGGGATAGCAGGTTAGATAAACTGTCACCTTGTCCGAGAGAGATTTAGATGGTTATCAAAACATCACGCCAGGGTAAGCCTACATGAAACATGGCCCTTATTTTAAGTGTTTCTAAAATCCTCTATGGGGAAAAATGAATGGTGGAAAAACGATTGGAACCATTTCCCTGTTTGACAGCTAGGTTTTATGGGCATTATGACTCCACTATGGGGCTCTATAGATGTTGACATGTAAAAAGGTTAAGGGTTAAGGTTAGGGACGTCCGAAGGATTCTCTATAGCACTAACTGGCACAACTCTGATATAATGAGTTTTTTATCAACGTTGCCGGGATGTCACGTGTCCTACTTATATATCGGTACACTCATAACAACCTAAGCATTACAAAACTTATATTCGATCAAATAAACCTCAAGTAGCAAAAAAGTAATTCAATTTTTTGGACCAAATTCGACACTCGTTGACCTCCATACAAAAACTCCAAGATTGGTGAGCGACAAAATGCCACTTGCTGGAGAAGACAGATTGTTGGCCCAGTTATCCCTCCCGCTTCACCAAATCCTCTCTGCCTTCCTTGACAATGGTCCACACTCCAGTACAGTTGGTGGCGGTAATGCGCCTTAAAGTTGGTTGCCAACCGCCATATAAAATCCACAGAAGAAGAACAAGAAGATTTGAACCAGAGTGGGGACAACGCAGACAGAGCTGTGACAGATTGTGTGTGTAGTGGAGGAGAACATATTTTACAGAGCAGGACCATGTGGCTGGGGACTGGAAACATGTCTGACCTGGGTGGACTGTTACCGTGTTCTGATGACGACCTCGGATCATAAAGCGCTGGCCTTGAGATTCACCTGGAAAGTTAAGATGGTAAAAAAGTTTGTTTTCTGTACTGCAGACTATTTTGCGGGTGATAGTCATATTTTAGAGGCTGGAGCGGGAGGGGCTATTAGGCTTTTGAATGTAGCGGATAAAGGATAAGAGGGGTACTTTTTAACATTGAGTTTTTAAATATTTTCTATTATTGACAAGCTAGTCGAGTGACTGCTCTAACAATGGGAAATAAATGTAATCAAGATGGAAGGGAGGCGAGATCAAGTGGGACCATTCTAGCCAATGAGTGGCCACATACTCATGTGAACTGGCACAACTCTAATATAGTAGTTTTGAAAAAGTTGCCGAAATGCTACGTGTGTCCACTTAACACCTAACCAGTATTACACTTCTATTCGATCAAATAAGCCTCACGTAGGTAGCAAATTAGTAATCCATTGTTGACCAAATTCGACACTCGTTAACCTCTACAAAAATTCCTCACTTTGTAGTCTTATTTTGGGCGGAGTAAAACCCTCTCGCTTCGCCTCGTCCTCTATGGTTTTAATTGTTTTCTCTCCCTCGATGTTGTCGTGGTGTATTACTTTTTAATCTCCTGCTCGTAAACGTTTTGCGGAAAGACGCGGGCGCGCTCTGGAAATTTAACTCTGGCGGAATATGATACGGTTAGTTTTTCTCTGTAGAACGGAAACACTTTTGTCTCTTAGCCAAGAGTGAAATGTGGGAACAATTGCCCTGGTGGTGGCAGTTGTGATCAAGGAGAGTGAGGACAGGTGTGGAGGCTGATTAGCAGCTGGTACTTGTTGAGGAGCTGCGCTCCTCAATAAAGTTATCTGGTTGAAAACGTTCTGGTTGTGGCATCGATATTAGTCAAACATTTATTCTAGTGTCAAAATTGAATCTGAAGTGTTAATAGGATAATTGTGTTCAATGTTAGTGTAGTCCAAGATGGAGATTTTTCCCAGAGAATTATGAGAAAAAAAAAGTATGTCATGGAATTAAAGCTATGCAACATCTTTCCTTGGGTTGAGTTTATTTCAATCATGCACAGACCTTTTCAGGGGGCAATTCTCTCAAGTGCATGTTTGAACGCGCCCTGTATCCAATCTCCATGCAGGGCAGACTGTCCCCAACCGGGCGGGCCGCGAAATCTTTACAGGGAAGATCAACAGGCGAAACCAACTGACAACTTTACGATGTAACAACGATTTGCGGGCAGTGGGTTCCGAGTGACAAAGTATTCAAACACCCAGAGTTGGAGCTCGGTTATCTTTTAGTTCCCAGTTGTTTTGAACACTCGGAAGTCTGAGAGTTGCCAGTTGTTTTGAACACAGCATTATACCACTACCCAAAAGGGCACTTTGGAGACTGGAAGGGCCCTATCTGTGCACGTGCATGCTGCCCACAGCACCCAAGTAATCATCAATTCGGACCACAGCTGCACATTACATTATACTCATTTAGCAGACGCTCTTATCCATAGCGACTTACAGTTAGTGAGTGCATACATGTTTATTTTTTCATTTGAGCGATCATAATGCCCATGGTAAATTTGGTTTGACTTTGAATATCCCTATGGGGCTGGTTAGGGATCATCAGTAAATTACACAATGTATATGGGCAAATACAGTGTGAATGTACATGTATATTTTTGTTACTCGACAGTCAGTACATTTCCAGTGGATAGATGTTTGCCAGAGAGCAGTGCTGACTGAGAGTAAAGAGCTAGTTGGAGTTGGAGTTGGACTGAGTGCTGTCCTCTTTGCCTCCCTTTTTGAGCCAGAGGACAGGGTGGAGGAGGGGCTCTCCGTTCCATGATTAGAAGCAGATTGGAGCGTTTCCTGTTGTAGCACCAACTTCTCTCTCCCTTTTCTCTCTCACTCCTTCTCTCTCCCCTCATTCTTCTCCCAACAGACACAATACTTGGATACATCAGCTTAAGAATGAAATAGGGTGCCGTTGTCTCAACACCTATCCCTGGTTCTTTCCATCTTGTCCCGTCACAGGCGGAGGGTTGTGAAAGAAAGGAAACCAGCTGTAAAGATCCAGGAGGGAATGCTGGAGCGGCTAGTGGAGACCCTACTGACGGCGTTCAGGGGCAATGACCTTGCCTACACCAGCATATTCCTGTCCACATACCGCGCCTTCACCAGCACGCACACCGTGCTGCAGTTGCTGCTAGACAAGTACATCTGGTTCTGGGCTGGGGGCCCGTGGTGGCTGGAGTGTACAGCAGGAGCTGACAACTCCTGGTCCTGGTGGGCCCTAGTGTGTGCAAGCTTTTGTCCCAGCCATAGTGATATAACACCTGGTTCAAATAATCATCTAATCAACATGATTTTGAGGAAGTCAGTTGTATGTTTAAGTGTTGGGCTGGGACAAAGCGTGTACAGACTGTGGCTCTCCAGAACCATGGTTGAAGAACACTACTGCTCTTCATTGAGAGGCTGAGGAGACTGTTACTGGTGGGATTGGAACAATGAAGGATAAATATACGTTGTTTTAATACTAATAGTCAAATTGTTTGTCTGTTTCCAGTTGTTGTTCAAGAAGGTGGTTCCTCACCACTGCCTGGGCTCCATCTGGTCCCAGAGGGATAAGAAACAGAACAAGCACAGTGCTCCCACCATCCGTGCCACCATCACCCAGTTCAACGCTGTGGCAGCGTGTGTGGTGAGCACCATACTGCATCGACGCCAGATCCGCCCACACCTCAGGGCACGGGTCATCCAGCGCTGGATAGACATCGCTCAGGAGTGTCGCATGCGTAAGAACTTCTCCTCACTGCGCGCCATCGTGTCTGCACTGCAGTCCAACCCACTCTACAGACTGAAGAGGTCCTGGTCTTGTGTACACAAGTGAGTCTTTCTTTCACAATCTGAATGCATATGAATTGATTAGTCACAACTAATTTGATAGAGTTCCTATGCTTTCCCTATTAGTTCTAACCTTTCTCTATGTAATTCCCCCAGAGACAGCATGTCTACATTTGGGGAGCCATCAGACATCTTACATCACAAACTCTACATGACCAGCCGAGAGCTGCTGATGAGAGTAAGACTCTGCTCTGTTAATACCATCATATAAGAGGGTTTGGTTGTTGGTGTAGTCGTTGATTGATGATTGATTGTAGTAGTGATTTGATATTTACACAATCTACTTTTTCCCCTACAGGAGGGCACCTCTAAGTTTGCCAATCAGGTAGGCTGTGCTAAGAAGCACCAGAAATGCACTCGCAAACAACTCCAGATGAAAATAGAAATGGTGAGAGATGGAGCAGGCCACTGGCAGTTTGTGTTCGAGGCCTGTTTGTTTACCTATTAAGGAGGGGAGTCAAAGTGAGAAGCTTGGCTGTAACTGCTGCTGTATCGGTATGATTTTTAACCATTGCTCTGTCTCTCCTCCCAGTGTGCCATGCAGGGGACGATACCTTACCTGGGCACCTTTCTGACAGACCTGACCATGCTTGATACTGCCCGGCCAGACCTAGTAGAGGTGAGTCTTACTATCATCCTACTCATTCTGTTTGGTTGTAGAGACTTCTCCTGTGTGTGTTGTGACCGCTGTTTGCATATAGAGCATGAGTTTCCATGAGTATGTGAGGAATTTGTTTGACAGTTTTTAGAGTAGTCCACCACTGCTGTTTGTCTCGCCAGCACAGCGTGGTATCATTGTTCAGTCTTTCACACTCATCTTTGTGCCTTCTGCAGGGGGGGCTAATCAACTTTGAGAAGATGCGAAGGGTGAATGTCATTTTGAACCTGTTCTAACGTACTAATTAGATAAATGGGAAAAGTAATTGTTAGTCAGCTTGATTGACATGACTGTTACCTTGATCTCTCTCTCGGACTCTCTTATGCAGGAGTTTGAGGTGATGGCTCAGATCAAGCTGCTGCAGTCTGCGTGTAACAGCTACTGTATTAGTGCTGATGCTGCCTTCCTGCGCTGGTTCAAGAACCAGCCCCAACACAGCGATGAGGAGGAGAGGTACAAGCGTCATTAATCATTCACACTGTATCTCTACATCAGCTCTTACTCCCTCTATCCTCTCTGCTCCATCTATCTTTCTGATTATTTTACTCATACTTAGGATAAGTGGACTGGTAGTAGTGATATCATGATTATTCTCGGTTTGTCTTCTGCAGCCATGCCATGTCTTGTGACATTGAAGGAGTGGGAGACAGACGTACAACTTTATGCAAACTTTGCAAGGGCATTGTCAAGAGACTTAGCCAGTAAGTACACACTGGACGACTTAAAACATTGTGTACTGTACGTAACATTACGATTTAAAAGAAATCTAATCTGAAATAGACATTATCGAATTCCTCTGACCACAATCAGATTTGGAACCTTAGCCTTAATAGTCTCTATTTCCGGCTGGCGCTAAGGAGGCTTAAGTGTCAAACGCACGTTAGTTTTCAATTCTGTCATGTTAAAACTGGCGCACTGGCATTTTCCAGCTCTAATGGCAGGTTCTTCAATTTATCCGTCTAACATCAGCTCACTTGCGCTGAGGTGGGAGGGGTGGCAATATTTAAGTTGTCCTAAAAACAAGTGCAAAAGTGACAATTTCATGCAGCGCTAATGGGACGTTTTAAGACTCACAAAAATACACGCTATTCCTAACTCTTCAGTTCTTCTATAATGCCATATCAACGGCAGATCTTTTGAAAATCTGCGTTGCACGTGGGCACCGATCCAATTGACAGGAGCCTAGTATATTGTATAGATGTGTGAATGTTACGTGTAAAGACTTTTAGCCCCAAGTGTGCACAGTGCCATGGAACGAGAGAAGCGATTTTCTGATATCGTGCTTCTGATTCGATCCTATTTAGAAATATTGTTGTCAGTTTAAAAATTATATTTTAAAACATATTGTTTCTTAATGTTCTCTGAACTAGTTATATTTTAAAACGTATTAGAAAGATTCACCATCCATGGGTTTATGGCGAGAACGTACATGGCTCGAATGCAATGCAATTTCATCTGCTATTTCTGGAAAAGTGCAAATATGATCTGTAAGATGGTTCCATGATGTTTATAAAACATTCAATTTGAAAGCAGTATAATGGTGAGTGGATGTTCCCCCTTTCTCTTTATATTGGAGCTTGACCCAGCTAGCACATAACGTTCTGAGAACCATATGTTTCTTAGAGCTTGGTGAGAGCGTGGTTGTCCTATGTTTATTTCGCATACAACCTTCCCACAACTTTCTGGAAATGGTGCATGATTGTTGCTTGGCTTTGGAACATTCTCAGCACATTTAAGGAACTTGATAAAAAAACATTTATTTACTTGGTGTTTCATTACTTTAACAGAATGTTTCCTAAAAGTTCAAACATGGTTACATTTCAATTTTGGTAATGTTCTAGGAACATTCTCCAACTGGTTTGCCATTGCGAATGTTCTCAACTAGTTCAGAGAACGTTAAGAAACAACGTTCTTCTGTGGGTATTTCAGCATAACATTTCCTACAGGTTTCCGCACATTCTATTTAAAATCATGTTCTCAAATTGTTCCGAGAACGTTAAGAAAACGTTCCATAAAAACCACAACTTTTGTGTGTTATTTAAAAACGTATACATTACAGGGCCCCCGAGTGACGCAGCGGTCTAAGGCACTGCATCGCATTGCTTAAGGTGTCACTACAGACCCGGGTTCGTTCCCAGGCTGTGTCACAACCGGCCGTGACCGGGAGTCCCATAGGGCGGCGCACAATTGGCCCAGCGTCGTCCGGGTTAGGGGAGGGTTTGGCCGGGGGGGCTTTACGTGGCTCATCGCGCTCTAGCGAGTCCTCGTGGCGGGACGGGCGCCTGCAGGCTGACTTCGGTCGCCAGTTGAACAGTGTTTCCTCTGACACATTGGTGCGGCTGGCTTCCAGGTTAAGCGGGCAGGTGTTAAGCAGCGCGGTTTGGCGTGTCATGTTTCGGGGGACGCATGACTCAATCTTCACCTCTCCCGAGCCTGTTGAGGAGTGGCAGCGATGAGACAAGATCGCAATTGGATATCACGAAATTGGGGAGAAAAAGGGGGTAAAATACAAAAACACTATACATTTCGTTCTCATCATCAACTAAACTCTTAAGTTTCTTCAGGTGTGTTGGCTGTGCCCACTAATTGGCCACACCTGATCTTAATGAGCGCTTGTTTCCTTTGAAATGGGGTCTGTTTGAATTGGGTTGGAACCTAAATTATTTTCCAATCATTTCTTTCTGAACAGAACCATATTTGTTTTTCGTTCCGACCAGCAAAATAAAGTTCTGAACCGGTTCAAACCCAAAAAAAGTAACGGTTTATATCGTTCCTTTTGAAACCTCTGAAATGTTTTTTACATGAAATGTCTTCACTAATCAGTGCAGATAGAGCAGCTTGCTATGGCCGATTTAATCTGTATAGGAAAGTTGTTAAGCGCAAATTGTATTTTGCCGTAACAGCATGGTTTAATCATAATGAAAGACAACTACACACACTGTGCTGCCAGTCAGTGTAGGGCGCAACATGCAACTGAAATTTTGCGAGAGCGGATGGAGGAAGCTTGCCTTGAAGCGCTGGGCATCTTTTTATGACATACATTATATTAATTAGGCCCACATAATTATACCTATGGAGGAGTGGCTTCTATGGAGGAACTTTGAATGTTTATTTTTATTTATTTTTGTCTTTGAACTTCAGTTTGTTTAACGTTGGACCAGAGCTAGCTAGCTAACAAGCTTGTGTGCAGAGCAGCGCTATAATTAAAAATACATCTTACCTTTTTGTAGTTAATAAATCCAATGGGAAACTGCATCCTTTAACGAGCATTGAAAAAGTTAATCCATTATTTTAAACATCTCTCCCTAATTTCTGAATTACGCTTGTAACATCATCAGTGAATCATACGTTTTTAAATAACACACAAAAGTTGTGGTTTTTATGGAACGTTTTCTTAACGTTCTCGGAACAATATGTGAATTGATTGCCCCCCATTTATCCTCAGAGTTCGTACTGCTTGGTGACCTAAATTGGGATATGCTTAATACCCCGGCCATCCTACAATCCAAACTAGATGCCCTCAATCTCACGCAAATGATCAACGAACCTACCAGGTACAACCCTAAATCCGTAAACATGGGTACCCTCATAGATATCATCCTGACTAACATACCCTCTAAATACACCTCAGCTGTCTTCAACCAGGATCTCAGCGATCACTGCCTTATTGCCTGCGTCCGTAACGGGTCCGCGGTCAAACGACCACCCCTCATCACTGTCAAACGCTCCCTAAAACACTTTAGCGAGCAGGCCTTCCTAATTGACCTGGCCCAGGTATCCTGGATGGATATAGATCTCATTCCGTCAGTAGAGGATGCCTGGTTGTTCCTTAAAAGTAATTTCCTCTCAATCTTAAATAAACATGCCCCATTCAAAAAATACAGAACTAAGAACCGATATAGCCCCTGGTTCTCCTCAGACTTGACTGCCCTTGACCAGCACAAAAACATCCTGTGGCGTACTGCATTAGCATCAAATAGCCCCCGCGATATGCAACTTTTCAGGGAAGTTAGGAACCAATATACACAAGCAGTCAGGAAAGCAAAGGCTAACTTTTTCAAACAGAAATTTGCATCCTGTAGCACTAACTCCAAAAAGTTTTGGGACACTGTAAAGTCCATGGAGAATAAGAGCACTTCCTCCCAGTTGCCCACTGCACTGAGGCTAGGAAACACTATCACCACCGCTAAATCTACAATAATCGAGAATTTCAACAAGCATTTTGCTACGGCTGGCCATGCTTTCCATCTGGCTACCACTACCCCGGCCACCAACTCTGCACCCTCCGCTGCAACTTGCCCATGCCCCCCCCCCGCTTCTCCTTCACACAAATTCAGACAGCTGATGTTCTGAAAGAGCTGCAAAATCTGGACCCCTACAAATCAGCTGGGCTAGACAATCTGGACCCTTTCTTTCTAAAACTAGCCGCCGAAATTGTCGCAACCCCTATTACTAGTGTGTTCAACCTCTCTTTCATAACGTCTGAGATCCCCAGAGATTGGAAAGCTGCCGCGGTCATCCCCCTCTTCAAAGGGGGTGATACTCTAGATCCAAACTGCTACAGACCTATATCCATCCTGCCCTGCCTTTCGAAAGTTTTTGAAAGCCAAGTTAACAAACAGATCACCGACCATTTCGAATACCACCGTACCTTCTCCGCTATGCAATCCGGTTTCCGAGCTGGTCATGGGTGCACTTCAGCCACGCTCAAGGTCCTAAACGATATTATAACCGCGATTGATAATAGACAGTACTGTGCAGCCGTCTTCATCGACCTGGCCAAGGCTTTCGACTCTGTCAACCACCGCATTCTTATTGGCAGACTAAATAGCCTTGGTTTCTCAAATGACTGCCTCGCCTGGTTCACCAACTACTTCTCAGATAGAGTTCACTGTGTCAAATCGGAGGGCCTGTTGTCTGGACCTATGGCAGTCTCTATGGGGGTGCCACAGGGTTCAATTCTTGGGCCGACACTTTTCTCCGTGTATATCAATGATGTCGCTCTTGCTGCTGGTGACTCTCAGATCCACCTCTATGCAGACGACACCATTTTGTATACATCTGGCCCTTCATTGGACACTGTGTTAACAAACCTCCAAACAAGCTTCAATGCCATACAACACTCCTTCAGTAGCCTCCAATTGCTCTTAAACACTAGTAAAACTAAATGCATGCTTTTCAATCGAACGCTGCTGGCACCCGCCCACCCGACTAGAATCACCACTCTCGACGGGTCTGACCTAGAGTATGTGGACAACTACAAATACCTAGGTGTCTGGTTAGACTGTAAACTCTCCTTCCAGACTCACATAAAGAATCTCCAATCCAAAGTTAAATCTAGAATCGGCTTCCTATTTCGCAACAAAGCCTCCTTCACTCATGCTGCCAAACATGCCCTCGTAAAACTGACTATCCTACCGATCCTTGACTTCGGCGATGTCATTTACAAAATAGACTCCAACACTCTACTCAGCAAATTGGATGTAGTCTATCACAGTGCCATCCGTTTTGTCTCCAAAGCCCCATACACTACCCACCACTGTGACCTGTACGCTCTTGTTGGCTGGTCCTCACTACATGTTCGTCGTCAAACCCACTGGCTCCAGGCCATCTATAAATCACTGCTAGGCAAATCCCCGCCTTATCTTAGCTCATTGGTCACCATAGCAGCACCCACCCGTAGTCTGCGCTCCAGCAGGTATATCTCACTGGTCATTCCCAAAGCCAACACCTCCTTTGGCCGCCATTCCTTCCAGTTCTCTGCTGCCAATGACTGGAACGAATTGCAAAAATCTCTGAAGCTGGAGACTCTTATCTCCCTCACTAACTTTAATCATCAGTTGTCAGAGCACCTTACCGATCACTGCACCTGTACACAGCCCATCTGAAATTAGCCCACCCAACTACCTCATCCCTATATTGTTATTTATTTTGCTCTTTTGCACCCCAGTATCTCTATTTGCACATAATCTCTTGCACATCTAGCATTCCAGTGTTAATCCTATTGTAATTATTTTGTACTATAGCCTATTTATTGCCTTACCTCCATAACTTGCTACATTTGCACACACTGTATATATATTTTCTGTTGTATTTTTGACTTTATGTTTTTTTACCCCATATGTAACTCTGTTGTTTTTATCGCACTGCTTTGCTTTATCTTGGCCAGGTCGCAGTTGTAAATGAGAACTTGTTCTCAACTGGCTTACCTGGTTAAATAAAGGTGAAATAAAAATAAAAATAAAAAATAAATCAGTAGGCTACAGTAACCTATGCTTCAGAAGGGAGGGGCAGGTATCCGATACACACATCCACTGGTAAAGATTTCCAGTTGGCAGGCAGACGCAGGAAAAAGTTTGAGTGACAGAGTGAGGGCTTTGCGATTTTTTTTGTGGAACTGGAAAAAGATACCCGGAATGTAAAATAACGTTATTAACCAGTTCCCATGATTTTAAAATAACAGTTCTGTTCCGGAACAGTTTTGGGTTCTGTTCCTCAAATAATTTCCTTATTTTTGGGTTCTGTTCTTTGAACCGGTTCCAACCCTTGTTTTGAATAGACTAAAATAAACAGCTTTTGTATGCGTAAAAAAACATGGCATGCTAGCTCCATCATGATAGCGCATTGGACTAATTTCATGGATAAAGAAAATATGATTATAAGTTTGAATCTCACTGATGCCATGTCACAAAGAAAATGTTTGCATGATTAATGCCTAAGGAAATTAAATTGTGTGTCCTGTCTGTGCTTGGACTTCAAAAAAGTTAACCCATAATAAGCTTAGCAGTGTTATTGAAATAATTAAGGAAGTTATTCAAAAACCTCAACCTACAATTTCCGTTCTTAGAACGTTAAAACCTCCCAGGAAAACTTTCAGGGAACCATAGTAAAACATTTTCAGAACCTCCCTGCAACCTAAAAATTAAATTCTCAAAACAGGCGAAATGTTCCTTCTGTTTTTCAGAATCTTGAAACAATTTTACATTTTACCAGTCAGGAAACGTATGGCTTCGTTACCAGAACCAATATGAAACCAAAATGTATGTTCCCACAACTTCCAAGGAACAAAATGTGCTAGGTGGGTATCCAGCTCCTGTGAAAAGTTTGGATGGGTGTAAAACAAGTTGTCTTGTCTGCATTATACACCCACAGGGAGCAATTATGGTGCCTGTAACTGTATTTAGACATAGCTTATTAAAAACAAGTGGTTTTGTTTGATTAGAATTATACTATTTTTAGGCCTTATCAATAGCCTAGGGAATTAAATCTTGCTTATTGACTACGTTTGGCATGTCCATGTCCAGACTACAATTTACAGTAGGCCTAGACCCTATATCAGTGTGAACGCTATAGCCTATGTTTAGCCATGTATTTCCATATTGAAGCAATGCAATTCGAACAATGTGGACTGCAAACATTTAACATATTTAGCAAATATGGGGCAAGCTATTTAATAAACTAGGCTATAATGGACTAACTCAATACATAGAAGACTGGAAATACACAACTTGAAGCAACCACATATTTAGCCATGGAGCACATTCTGATTGGCCAGTTAGGGGCCAAGCTACGACACACCCCCAACTTGTGTATTCATCAAAACCCAGTCCTTTCGTGCCACGGCCAGCTACTGCGCCCATTATTCCGTTTGTGAAGATAGCAAAAATATTTCAGACACCCCGAACCTATAACGCTACTGCCAGCGCTAAGATTGACCATTTGCTTTAGGTTTGTTCAAATAGAGCCCAAAATGTTTTAACAGGTATCAGTTATATCAGTGTGTTTTTATATTAGATTTATCTGAACCATATAGATGGTCCTTTTTTAAATAATCAAAATGGGACTTTATTTTACCTGACCATTTCCCCTCTGTCACCAGACAGTTTCGCACAAGACCGTTGCACTCCCTGACGCCCATGTCCCCTTCACCCCCCGCCTACAACACCCAGGCCCAGGACGCCTGCATCATCAGACTCAGCCTGGAGCAGGGCAACGGCAACCTCTACAAGAGCATCATGGTACGTCTCAGCAGGAGATTAGTACTTTGATTCAGATGGCCAAGACATTTTGAATAAATGTATAGAAGCCTGAAAAGTGGTTATTGATTGGTACATGGTGTTGTTCCCTCCCCAGTTGACGAGTCAGGATAAGACTCCAGCAGTGATCTCTAGAGCTGTGGCCAAACACAACCTGGAGAGTGAGCCTGGGGAGGGATACGAGCTGGTGCAGGTCATCTCTGACGAAAGAGGTACAAACATTCTCCCTGTCACTCAAATATATCACTCATAGTCTTGTACTCTAATTTGTAATTACTGACTTGTGATAATATTGTCACAAAAAATCCTTCCTTTTCCAGAACTGGTGATTCCTGACAATGCCAACGTGTTTTACGCCATGAACACCTCGGCCAACTTTGACTTCCTGCTGCGTGTGCGAGGCACGTCCGGGTGGCCTGTCCAGCTGAGTCGTCGCTACGCCTCCACACTCCCCTGCGCCCAACAGCATGCCAGCCTGCGCCTCAGCAAGGTCACCTGTTGTAGTTTCCTATTGTAGCGCGCTAGCAGCACAAAGGTTTCTCTCGCTCTCCCTTTTCTCTCCCCTCATTATTCTCCCAGCAGACACAATACTCTTGACACATTTGCTTAAGAATTTAAATATAGGCTGCCTTTGTCTCAACCTCCATCTGTCCCTCCATCTCTCTCTTTCCCCATTCTCATCGTTCTAATATCCCTGGTTCTTTCCATCTTGTCTCATCACAGGCGGAGGGGGACCGGCTGCCTCCCGGCCACACGGTGATCCAGCTAGAAACCTGTAAGATCCGGTCTGGAACTCTGGAGCGGCTGGTGGAGACCATGCTGACGGGGTTCCGGGGCAATGACCTTGCCTACACCAGCATATTCCTGTCCACATACCGCGCCTTCACCAGCACGCACACCGTGCTGCAGTTGCTGCTAGACAAGTACGTCTGGTTCTGGGCTGGGGGCCCGTGGTGGCTGGAGTGTACAGCAGGAGCTGACAACTCCTGGTCCTGGTGGGCCCTAGTGTGTGCAGGCTTTTGTCCCAGCCATAGTGATATAACACCTGGTTCAAATAATCATCTAATCAACATGATTTTGAGGAAGTCAGTTGTATGTGTAAGTGTTGGGCTGGGACAAAGCTTGTACAGACTGTGGCTCTCCAGAACCATGGTTGAAGAACACTACTGCTCTACATTGAGAGGCTGAGGAGACTGTTACTGGTCTCACTGCTTTTACAGACTGATGGTAGACATTGCTGCTGAAATGTTGTTTTCTCTTGGTCTTTCTCTCAGGTATGGAATCCCAGAGGATAGAGGACAGACTGAGCAATGTAGACCCTTTGAAACCAAAGGAGCCATTCGAACGTACGATTTCTCAACGTCTCCTGTTTTACTTGGTCTGTCTTCGCTTGAATCAAAATGGAAATCAAGCAAAGTTGTTGAGTTGTTACTGTGTAGCTTTCCTGTCTGCCTTGCCCTCTGTCAGCAGCAGCTTGCTCCCAGCAGCCCTCCCTGACTATCTGCCCCCCTCCCTCATCACCCTCAGTGCCCTGGCCTCCATCCTGCGAGTCTGGCTGGACCAGTGTCCAGAGGACTTCCAGGAGCCTCCATCCTACCCCTGCCTCCAGAGGGTGATGACCTACCTACAGAGGACCCTGCCTGGATCAGAGCCCATGCGTAGAGCCCAGAGTCTACTGGAGCAGCTGAAGGCCGAGGCCAGTCTGGATCTAGACTCAGAGGGTGGGTGAACAGTCTGATATGTAGTTAATTAGTACTCTATCATCTCACAATTCTTTAGCCTTGTGTATCTCTCCCTCTCCTTAATTTCTCTCTCCATCATTAATCTGATCATTACTCCTGGTAGGTTTCGACAGCATACGCTCCTTCGGCCTGTGTGAGGATGAGGAAGTGGAGATTGAGGTCCGGGAAGACTTCATGTCATTTGATGCAGATTTGGTGGCAGAGCAGCTGACCTATATGGATGCGGTAAGAGAAAGGGAGGGGGTCTGGGTGGGAATATGGGTTCCCAGGTGGGATTTGAACAATACAGGATACATTTACGTTTAAGTGTTTAAATACTATGGCTGTGTTTACAGGCAGCCCAATTCTCATATTTATTTTCACTGTTTGGTCTTTTGACCAATCAGTTCAGCTCTGAAAAGCTCTGTGATTGGTCAAAAGACCAATTTAGTGGAAGAAAGATCAGAATTGGGCTGCCTGTCTAAACGCAGCCTAATAGTCTAAAGCCTTGTTCACACTGCAGGCCTTAATGCTAAAGTCAGTTTTGTTTTTCAAATCCGTTTTTGACTACTGACTATCCAAACAGCAAGTTACAAGTGCCCAAATTGGATTTGTGTGTTTTCAGATAACAACAGTAATTTGCTGACATGGCTATGCTAGTTGTCCTAGTAACGATGGGTGTGTGCGCAGTGGTGTAGGCTGATTGGTGGCGCTCGTGCTTCCTATCACTCAGAAGTTATGTAGCAAGCTAAGTTGACGACAATGCCTGCCATGAACTTTTCCCAGTTGCTTGAATAAGATGATCCAACTTTCAAAACAAATCATTTTTGGCTAGCCACAACAATCAACTATATAGTTAGGTAGCTGTTTAGCTTTCTAACACATTCACTAATTTGTTTGTAAACACTTAACAAGCTAGTTAGCTACCACATGTTCTTGTCAAACTAGCTAGTAAGCAACAAGATATGCCAAATAAGTCTAAAAGCCACTTGATGGCAAATAAATCAGATTTGACCATTCAGACACAAGTCACATGGCCAGGAATCAGATTTGTATCTGACTTCAAACCACCTATGAAATTAAGCCAATGTGAACACAGCTTAATTTGTCTGTTTCCAGTTGTTGTTCAAGAAGGTGGTTCCTCACCACTGCCTGGGCTCCATCTGGTCCCAGAGGGATAAGAAACAGAACAAGCACAGTGCTCCCACCATCCGTGCCACCATCACCCAGTTCAACGCTGTGGCAGCGTGTGTGGTGAGCACCATACTGCACCGACGCCAGATCCGCCCACACCTCAGGGCACGGGTCATCCAGCGCTGGATAGACATCGCTCAGGAGTGTCGCATGCGTAAGAACTTCTCCTCACTGCGCGCCATCGTGTCTGCACTGCAGTCCAACCCACTCTACAGACTGAAGAGGTCCTGGTTCTGGGTGCCCAAGTGAGTCTTTCTTTCACAATCTGAATGCATATTAATTTTAGTCACAACTTGTGATTGAGTTCCTGTGCATTCCCAATTAGTTCTAACCTTTCTCTATGTAATTCCCCCAGAGACAGCATGTCTACGTTTGAGGAGCTAAGAGACATCTTCTCAGATCACAACAACTACCTGACCAGCCGAGAGCTGCTGATGGGGGGGTGAGACTCTGCTCTGCTAATACCATCATATGAGAAGGTTTGGTTGTGTGTGTAGTGGTTGACTGATTGATGATGAATTGATTGTAAATATCAAATCACTACTACAATCTACTTTTTCCCCTACAGAAGGGCACCTCTAAGTTTGCTAAGGAGCACCAGAAACACACTCTCACACAACTCCAGATGAAAATAGAAATGGTGAGAGATGGAGCAGGCTACAAGCCACTGGCAGTTTGTGTTCAAGGCCTGTTTTGTTTTCATTTTAAGGAGAGGAGTCAAAGTGAGAGAAACTTGGCTGTGGCTGCAGATGTGTTGGTGTGGTTTAATCTATGCTTTCTCTTTTCCCAGGGTGCACTGCGGGGGACATTACCTTACTTGGGCACCTTCCTGACAGACCTGACCATGCAAATTACAGGCATGAGCCCCTCCTTAAAAACAACAATAATTTGACCGAGACAAAAGCCAGCAAGACGCATCAACCTCACTGGAGAAAGCAGCCGAGCGAACGAAACGGCACCTGTCATGCTTTTTTTGGTGAGACAGCATCAGATATATGGGCTACACAGACTGATACGCTGTTTTGCTTGCTTCTACGCATTCTCTGGTGAAATGCACTGCTCAAAAAAATAAAGGGAACACTTAAACAACACAATGTAACTCCAAGTCAATCACACTTCTGTGAAATCAAACTGTCCACTTAGGATGCAACACTGATTGACAATACATTTCACATGCTGTTGTGCAAATGGAATAGGCAATTAGCAAGACACCCCCAATAAAGGACTGGTTTTGCAGGTGGTGACCACAGACCACTTCTCAGTTCCTATGCTTCCTGGCTGATGTTTTGGTCACTTTTGAATGTTGGCGGTGCTTTCACTCTAGTGGTAGCATGAGACGGAGTCTACAACCCACACAAGTGGCTCAGGTAGTGCAGCTCATCCAGGATGGCACATCAATGCGAGCTGTGGCAAGAAGGTTTGCTATGTCTGTCAGCGTAGTGTCCAGAGCATGGAGGCGCTACCAGGAGACAGGCCAGTACATCAGGAGACGTGGAGGAGGCCGTAGGAGGGCAACAACCCAGCAGCAGGACTGCTACCTCCGCCTTTGTACAAGGAGGAGCGTGCAAGGAGGAGCAGGAGGAGCACTGCCAGAGCCCTGCAAAATGACCTCCAGCAGGCCACAAATGTGCATGTGTCTGCTCAAACGGTCAGAAACAGACTCCATGAGTGTGGTATGAGGGCCCGACGTCCACAGGTGGGGGTTGTGCTTACAGCCCAACACTGTGCAGGACGTTTGGCATTTGCCAGAGAACACCAAGATTGGCAAATTCGCCACTGGCGCCCTGTGCTCTTCACAGATGAAAGCAGGTTCACACTGAGCACATGTGACAGACATGACAGAGTCTGGAGACGCCGTGGAGAACGTTCTGCTGCCTGCAACATCCTCCAGCATGACCGGTTTGGCGGTGGGTCAGTCATGGTGTGGGGTGGCATTTCTTTGGGGGGCTGCACAGCCCTCCATGTGCTCGCCAGAGGTAGCCTGACTGCCATTAGGTACAAAGATGAGATCCTCAGACCCCTTGTGAGACCATATGCTGGTGCGGTTGGCCCTGGGTTCCTCCTAATGCAAGACAATGCTAGACCTCATGTGGCTGGAGTGTCAGCAGTTCCTGCAAGAGGAAGGCATTGATGCTATGGACTGGCCCGCCCGTTTCCCAGACCTGAATCCAATTGAGCACATCTGGGACATCATGTCTCGCTCCATCCACCAACGCCACGTTGCACCACAGACTGTCCAGGAGTTGGCGGATGCTTTAGTCCAGGTCTGGGAGGAGATCCCTCAGGAGACCATCCGCCACCTCATCAGGAGCATGCCCAGGCGTTGTAGGGAGGTCATACAGGCACGTGGAGGCCACACACACTACTGAGCCTCATTTTGACTTGTTTTAAGGACATTACATCAAAGTTGGATCAGCCTGTAGTGTGGTTTTCCACTTTAATTTTGAGGGTGACTCCAAATCCAGACCTCCATGGGTTGATACATTTTATTTCCATTGATAATTTTTGTGTGATTTTGTTGTCAGCACATTCAACTATGTAAAGAAAAAAGTATTTAATAAGATTATTTCATTCATTCAGATCTAGGATGTGTTATTTTAGTGTTCCCTTTATTTTTTTGAGCAGTGTATATTCAGCCACTTGTGAATTGAAGGAAACTTATGAAACATAATTTCATACGTTTTTTTTCTTCACATTTTTTGGGAAGCATGGTGTCTCTTGGCATCCATGAATACATGCCACTGTAGTAGTAGTCCTAATAACAATCACAGAATGTCATTATGGTGTTTGTAACAGATTTCCATTAATTAAATGGATGCTGGAATTATTTTGGAGTGGATGAACGTGCGCAGCTGCAGGTAGCCAACTTTTAGAAGTGATTTGTTTGACAACAACCAGGTTTCCATCCAACCTTTTTATGTGAGTAATGTACATGCCAGAAATGTCACGACAGGCCTGTAAACTATCCAATGTCGACTAAACAAAATACGTTAGGTGGGATCTTTTTCTCGGTAAAATTAATTATGCGAGAAATTGCGGTGGAAAGGCCTTTGTGCAAATATTTAAATAATTACCATCATATTGACGTAAACTTGGAGTCACGCGATGATATGGTGTGGTCATCCCAATGTGACTCAAGAAAGCATGCAGTTTATTAGGCTACAGAATCATAACGCATTTAATAACTTCACAGGGTGGTGAAAGTGCACGGTGATGAGTTTGATGCTCCTTTCCAATAAATATCGAGTGTGTTATTCTGGTGACATGATGATAGATGCTTGGCTGCCATTTGACAAATAAAAATAATATCGCTCTTACCCATAATCTCATGTAGGCTATACCCCCACTATATCTGCGAGCTGTTGGCTAGAGTGCGCGTGCGAAGATCAGTCGACACATTCGCTTTATAAAGCAAAATAAATGTCTGCCAAAACCATCAGAGTTCAAAATAAGATGGAAACCCACTTAACTTCTTTTTTATTCGGTACATGGGAATTTAACTGCAAAAGTAATTTTTATGTGCACTGCATCATCACGCACATCCTTTTATCTGCCACAAGTCAATTTGATGGAAACATCTCTGGTGGGAAAATGCGCGTATTGTTTTTATGCAGATTTTTGAATATTCGCATGGAAATTGGTCGCCAATTGGATGGACACCTAGCTAATCAGATGACCACATCATTACAGTTTGTTTTCATGCAACATTAAAATGTAATACATTTTTACTGTTAAATTACATGTCTTTACAATTAGACCCATAAAAGTATTTGCAATCGCGTGCACCCACTGGAGGCTCACACGACTGTGACGGTATAATTCACACACTGTAGATACTGCCCGGCCAGACCTAGTAGAGGTGAGTCTTACTATCATTCTACTCATTCTGAGTGATTGTAGAGACTTATCCTGTGTGTGGTACTAATCGCTGTTTGCATTTGTTGGTGAACACATAATTAGGAGAGGAAGTACAAAACCATCGACGCTAGACAGAGAGGAATTTGCTTAAGCAAAAGGCAGTTTATTAAACACAGAGATATCTGTTACTGTTAGCTAACATGCATGGGATCCTGCTAATTAACATGCATGGACCTAATCATATAGCACTCTATTAGTGTCAGCTGAGAAGGATGGATAAACAGAGTTTACAGCATTACTTTATACAATGTAACATAAAGGAAGGGGTCCTTCTTCTAGTCCCTTGATTGGTTCCCGAGGCGTAGGAGGCGGTTCTGCTCTGTCCAGAGTAGAAGCCCCATTGGTGCACGGCAGAGTCCTCTGCCCTTGGCACCCGACCAGTAGACAGGGAAGTTGAGAATGAGTGTGCGTGCAAATGAAATGTCTTGTGTGTGTCCAGGGAACTCGTGAGGCCTGAGAATGAGTGTGCGTAAGAAATGAAATATTGGTGTGTGTCAAGAGAAAATGGTGGGGAGTATCTGGTGGTTTATGGCCGGAGAGGGGGTGTTGTCCTATTATCGCATTCCTGCAAGACTAGGTCATCTGGTGAGAGATATGGTGTTCTCCTCTGTCCTTTGATCTCTGACCTAAAACAGCATTTATTGAAAACAGGCTCCAAATGGGTCTTTGCACAACATTTTAGTCAGACCAATCTATAACCAATTATATTTACTACGACACATCTAGAGCATGCGTTTCCATTAGTATTTTTTGGCAGTTTTTAGAGTAGTCCACCACTGCTGTTTCTAGCCAGCACAGCGTGGTATCAGCGTTCAGTCTTTCACACTGTCATCTTTGTCCTCTGCAGGGTGAGCTTTTCAACTTTGAGAAGGGGCGACAGGTGAGTGTCATTTACAAGCTGTTCTTAACCCACTAATTAGGAAAAGTCATTAATGTTAGGGTCAGCTCGATTGACATGACTGTGACACTGATCTTTCCCCATGAGGAATACTGTACTTAACATTGATTTAAAATAAATCTACCCTGAAATAATATAGACATTATTGAATTCCTCTACAATCAGATTTGGAAACTTAGCATTTGGCATGTTTTATCAATGTTTTTATTAGATTTATCTGACCCATATAAAAGGTCCTTTTTAAATGGTCCAAATGGTCATTTTTTAAGTCTGACCATTTTCCCTCTGTCACCAGACTGTTCCAGGGAGTTGACTCCTCAGCAGCCAGTTCCCCATTGAGTGAAACACCTGGCCCGCCCTGCATGTCACCTACAACACCCAGGCCTCCTGCATCATCCTACTAAGCCTGTTTTTATGCCATGAACACCTCAGCCAACTTTGACTTCCTGCTGCATGTGCGAGGCACGGCGGGGCAGCCAGTCCAGCTGAGGAGTCGCTGTGCCTCCCCGCGCCCAGCAGTGCTCCAGCCTGTCCCTATGCCTCAGCAAGCCCACCCTGTGCACCACCCCACCCCCCCCCAACATGGGCACGAGGCCTGGAGCAACCCCAGACTGAAGGGGCTGGGAGACTGAGAAGGACCAAACATGGGGGAATGAGTTGAAGTCTATGACATGATAGACTCTGAATTACCTATTCCTTTGTCCCCAATCGGACCTATTCTCTCCCCCCCCCCCCCCCCCCCCCCCCCCCCCCCGACTCTTTTCTTTCCTGTGGAGGCTGTATGTATGTTTCCCATTCAGAGGGAGATGGGAGCCTGGAAGGAGAGCGAGACTATGTCCTGTCCAGTTGCCTTTATTAACAGGGATGAACGATGGACTCCTGTGTTAATCTGGGTGATTGATTGACAGGAGCGGAGTGATGCAGTTTCCCAGTGTGCACCACGCGGGACTGCACCTCTCGTATTGTGAGCTGAGTGATGAATGCCAGTATAGAGGCATTCTGATAGGTTACTACTTGGTTTTAACAAGTTATTTCCTTTTGATATTGTTTAGCTGTCCCCTCTCACCTTTAGGGTGTAGTGACACATAGGATGGGTCTCTATGTGAGGCCCGGATTGCGCTGCCTGCCACGACGATTAGCAGTCCTAATAGAGATGCACTTGTTAGTGGTTAGGTGACGTCAGGAGGTGGGAAGTAGGTGGAATGAGTGACCTACTCTTGTCTAATCTTAACCTCTTTTCACCTCAGAACAAAATGGAGTATCATTTAGTCTCTGATTTGTTTTTTACAGGGCAGGAAAACGTGTCACACACACTGAATGTACAAATCATTAGGAACACCTGCTCTTTCCATGACACTGACCAGCTGAAAGCTATGCTCCCTTATTGATGTCACCTGTTAAATCCACTTCAATCCGTGTAGATGAAGGGGAGGAGACAGGTTAAAGAAAGATTTTTAAGCCTTGCAACAATTGAGACATGAATTGTGTATGTGTGCCATTCCGAACGGGGTATGGTAGTAGGTGCCAGGCGCACCGGTTTGAGTGTGTCAAAAACATCCCTGTGGAACGCTTTCGACACCTTGTAGAGTCCATGCCTCAACGAATTGAGGCTGTTCTGAGGGCAAAAGGGGGTGCAACTCAATATTAGGAAGGTCTTCCTAATTTTTTGTATACAGTGTATATCAATAAAACTTGGAGAGGGTGACTGAAGACCATGTTTTTAAATTAAATGTTAATTCCGATTATGTTCAGCCCGTTGACGCGGCTGAATGCGGTCCGGGCACTAGGTAAGAACATTTTTAGAGCCCCCTTCTTGGCGGCAGAGAATTTTTCTATTTTAAAGTTAATTTCTTGCAATTCTAGCTACACATTGTTCCATGGGGCAGAGAGAAAATGTTGCAGTTTTTAAAGTTTATCAACGGCGTTTATGCTTTCAGCACTTGTTTTCACAGATTTATAGCAGCACTGGTGCTTATTTGTTTTTGCAATTTAAGTTAATAGTAATTTTGTGAAGTGAAACAACTTTGTGCCGAAAAAGGAACTGTTTCATTTCAACCAAGCGAGTTTGGTGTAATACAGCCTCATTATCTACACAAGTGTCCCCCACCGTAGTGCAAGGAATAATATGTTCCGTTTCAAACTTTGAGTGGTGAAAAGCTGCGTAGCAAGCAACAAAGGAGCGACCTATTTTGTGATGAAATACTACATTCACGTACTGCATTGTGATCCGTTTGCTTAAAGTGTGCCGAGCCGCTTACAGGATGTTCAGATAGATATTTTCGTTTGACTGTCGTTCAGAATAGGCATGTCTGTTCATACATTACTTTTTTATCTACAACATTCTGAACAGCCAGCCCCCTGTGCACCGAGCCTCACCCAAACACTCACCCCCAATAGTTTGAGTTACAGATGATTTGAATTACATTTGCACACTAGCCCACACTGACACTAATTCAGTTCCTCCTGTACCTAGGCCTCAACACACCGACACACAACCCCCCCCTTAACGGAATCCCACAGATACCGGCTCCCACACACTCCTAACCAGCATTAACACCTCCACCCCACCTGTCTAACCCACACACTCCTAACCAGCATTAACACCTCCACCCCACCTGTCTAACCCACACACTGAAACCGGTCCCTACTGTGCCATATACACTCCTACATTTTAATACCTATTCTCTCCATCACGCTGTGGTTTTTACTATAACACTCTTTCTCTAATACTGACATTCTGGCCATCTCACTGAGCGCAGTGTACTGGTCTGTTATTGGTCATAACGTGTACTGTGGTCGATTCTCCCTGTCATGATTCTCATGCAGCACTTGTGATTTTTCTCTCATGAACTCAGTTTGTGTACTTATTCACTGCGAAATAATTCTCTACCTAAATAAATGATCATTACTATGATTGGTGTTGTTTGATTGACCCTTTTAACAATTTATAAGATTTACATGGTTGAACGATACTTCGAATTATTATTCTGGTACAAACAAGTAGCCTAACTAATGGGTTATTACTGTGTAATTACCATTTAAAAATCTACTTGGTCATTTCTTTACTATAAATTGAAGTGATACAATAGCTAGGTTTCCATCCAATTGGCGACAGATTTTCATGCGAATATTCAAAAATCGGCTTAAAAACAATTAACGCATTTTCCCACCAGAGATGTGATTCCATCAAATTGACTTGTTTCAGATAAAAGGCTGTGCGTGATGATGTAATTAAATTCCCATGTACCGAATAAAATAACACTACTGATGGTTTTCTGCCTAAAAATGTTGCCTTTCTATAGCCAGTGCCCACTCTGGTATTGGCATGTGCACTCTAGCCAGCAGAGTGCAGTATAGCCTACATGAGATGATTATGGACAAAAGAGCAAGATATATTTTTATTTGTCAAATGGCAGCCCAGCATCGATGATCATGTGACCAGTATAAGACCCTCGATATTGATTGGAAAGCGCATCAAGCTCATCACCTTGCACTTTCACCACCCTGTGAAGTTAATTATGAGATTCGAACACACAACTTTTGGGTTGATATACGTTCGCGTTATACTCCCACCCATTCTCCCCAACCAACCACCCTCCTATCATTTCTTTCTTAAGTAACCGACTGTTTTTATCTGTGATTGTAATGCAAAATCGTGTACTGCACAACACAAATAAGCAATTTGTGTCTATTTCACAATCATCTGTGATACTGGGTTGCTTGATACACATGGGAAACTGAGCGTGAAAAACCCAGCAGCATTGCAGTTCTTGACACACTCAAACCAGTGCTGCTACCATACCCCATTCAAAGGCACTTCAATCTTTTGTCTTGCCCATTCACCCCCTGAATGGCACACATACACTATTCATGTCTCAAGGCTTAAAAATCCTTCTTTAACATGTCTCCTCCCCTTCATCTACACTGATTGAAGTGGATTTAACAAGTGACATCAATTAGGGATCATAGCTTTCACTTTGCCAGTCTGTCATAGAAACAGGTGTTCCTGTTTTGTACACTGTGTAAAAATTGCCCTTTGAATATAATATTCTACAGTACTGTAAATTACAGTACATTACACTTTTCACATTTAGCAATACACTTTCAATATTTTAAATAAAAATATTCTATCCCATGTGTGATCATTGAAGACATATTTCACGATCATTGATTTCTAAAATAAATGTATTGTTCAGATATAATTACAACATACAGTGAGGGGGGGGGAAAGTATTTGATCCCCTGCTGATTTTGTACGTTTGCCCATTGACAAAGACATGATCAGTCTATAATTTTAATGGTAGGTTTATTTGAACAACTCGAACCTTCAGCTCCCTCCACAGATTTTCTATGGGATTAAGGTCTGGAGACTGGCTAGGCCACTCCAGGACCTTAATGTGCTTCTTCTTGAGCCACTCCTTTGTTGCCTTGGCTGTGTGTTTTGGGTCATTGTCATGCTGGAATACCCATCCACAACCAATTTTCAATGCCCTGGCTGAGGGAAGGAGGTTCTCACCAATATTTGACGGTACATGGCCCCGTCCATCGTCCCTTTGACGTGGTGAAGTTGTCCTGTCCCCTTAGCAGAAAAACACCCCTGAAGCATAATGTTTCCACCTCCATGTTTGACGGTGGGGATGGTGTTCTTGGGGTCATAGGCAGCATTCCTCCTCCTCCAAACACGTTGAGTTGATGCCAAAGAGCTTGATTTTGGTCTCATCTGACCACAACACTTTCACCCAGTTCTCCTCTGAATCATTCAGATGTTCATTGGCAAACTTCAGACGGGCCTGTATATGTGCTTTCTTGAGCAGGGGGACCTTGCGGGCGCTGCAGGATTTCAGTCCTTCACGGCGTAGTGTGTTAACAATTGTTTTCTTGGTGACTATGGTCCCAGCTGCCTTGAGATCATTGACAAGATCCTCCCGTGTAGTTCTGGGCTGATTCCTCACCGTTCTCATGACCATTGCAAGTCCACGAGGTGAGATCTTGCATGGAGCCCCAGGCCGAGGGAGATTGACAGTTATTTTGTGCTTCTTCCATTTGCAAATAATCGCACCAACTGTTGTCACCTTTTCACCAAGCTGCTTGGCAATGGTCTTGTAGCCCATTCCAGTCTTGTGTAGGTCTACAATCTTGTCCCTGACATCCTTGGAGAGCTCTTTGGTCTTGGCTCCTAATCTCAGCTCGTTACCTGTATAAAAGACACCTGGGAGCCAGAAATCTTTCTGATTGAGAGGGGGTCAAATACTTATTTCCCTCATTAAAATGCAAATAAATTTATAAAATTTTTGACATGCGTTTCTCTGGATTTTTTTTTGTTATTCTGTCTCTCACTGTTCAAATAAACCTACCATTAAAATTATAGACTGATCATTTCTTTGTCAGTGGGCAAATGTACAAAATCAGCAGGGGATCAAATACTTTTTTGAAATGAAAGAAACATGACGTTTAGCAGGCACTACTTTACATCAAGTCTGTCTTGAGCATTTGGCCATAGGTTCTCATCGACATAATTCGCTTCTGTAACATGCTCATTGTTCATGCACCTGGGGAAAACCCCTTTTGGCACGGCGAATCCAAGCCTGCCATAGGTCTCGATTGATGTCATTACATGCCTTATCCATGACCTGGAGGAGGGTGGTACACTCATGGGGAATGGCGATCATACACCTTCCACTTGTATTGTACTGTACTTATGTATTGTAGTGGTCCTGTGTGGGTTCGATTCCCACTGGGGTCACTTACAATGTGTGGACTCACTTGTTGCTTTGGATAAAAACAGCTGCTACGTTATTTGCATATGTTCTGGTATTACTGTGTTGGCCAATGCAATATTAGAAAGCAGTGTGAAACACCCCACCAGACCCCAGCAACTTCATTTTGGATCCATGTTTACTGTATAGGGGATGCATTACATACAATACATCTCTGATCTTCTCAATATCCAATTTCTTTTAACTTACTGAAGTAAAATCATAATATTACATTACAGTATATATAATACTTTATATGTTCATACCTTACAAACATACATTTTCATTATTCTCAAAATATGTTGCAGAGAAAACATTATATAGGTTTACCAAATGGTTAAGTGATTATCAATTAAGAGCAGTCGGATTAAGTCATAGTTAAATGTATTTAAACAAATGAGAAGACAATCATATCAAAAGTAATGTGAGCATTGCATTGTGAAAGGCAATTACTTTATATGAACATGTATTCCAATGTGAAACGTATTTCTAGATGAAACACTTAAGTTTGGTGAAAAACTGACTATGATTGTGTGTTGTACTTAGTCAATTGAATAATGTGCTTAAGGTTTTGAAACAACTGCCTTTTTTTGATGATCTGTTTTGAGTTTTGTACAAAGCGTTGTGAAAATGTACAACATACTTGTGAAAATTGCACCAAAGCGATAAAAAAAAAACGAATCAGAAAACACCTATTGACAAAGTGCCATTGTTGGAAAATGGCATGTCTTATTGCTCTCAGAGCTCAGTTTAACAGACAAACAGTTTAACATAACTATAGTACAGTACCAGCAGTTCGTTTCCCTAATATAAGGACTATTCCATAAACAATTGCTATCTACAGTAATCTTACTATTCTCTCCACTATACCAAAAGCTATAAACGTACAAAACTTAAACATTACCTATTATCTTAGCATTAACGAAACCTAACCAGTGGGTATTGCTCATCAATAATACAAGATGAGTTATCTGAGAAGTAGGCTACAGTAGCCTGGTCCCATCTGTATGTGTGCTTTAGCCAACTCTGCTGTGCTGCGTGTGTTCCTTGTCAAGCCAAACATGAATGTATGGCATCATGACAATAGTCAAAGGAGTTGTCTTAAGACAGACCTGGGACCAGGATATGGCTACAGAACCTCTTCCTCTCATTTTCCCGCACCTCTGCTTCCAGTGGAGATCCATTGGTCTGACCAGAGGTCTATTCATTAGTCAGATTCAATTGCAAAACGTTTGGTCTGTTGCAAAACGTGTTGCAAGGAAACCGTTTACTCTAGGAACCAAACGGAAGCAAACTGAATGAAACAGGGAGGGGGCCTACCTGAATTTGTCCAATAGAAACTTGTTTTCATTGCAAAACATTTTCAGTTTGGAGTAAACTGTTTCTGTTGCAAAACGTTTTGCAACAGACCAAACGTTTTTCTACAAAATCTGACTAATGAATACACCCCAGGCCCTACCTCCCCCCTTACGCTAGCCCTTGATCATGACTCAGTTCCATTACATTACACAAGAGTCATTGGACGAAGGCAGTTACAGTTAAAACAGTAAGTATGTATTTTGCATTTGTGAAATTATTTTGATGTGATATGAAAATTAAGGGACTTATGTTTCTAGAACCGTACCGCAATTGAGAATCGATTCACGTTTAGATTGAGTATTTGGCTGTTTTGGCTTCCAGAGCCAATTCGCCTTAAAACAGAGCATGTAATGTCCTTGGACTATAAGGAGTGACGTTAGGCTCCTTTAGTCCATTATTGGGTTACCCTTATGGCTGATCATGGACGGTTCGAAACCAGGGTGGCGGCGGGCATGCTTGAGCAGGTGGTCGCTTCGCATGAAGCGCATGGCACACAGTGGGCACTGGAACTGTTTCTCGCCTGTGTGAGTCCGCAGGTGGCGAATTTGTTCATCAGAACGGGAGAACTTCTTGTCACAGTCGGGCCAGGTGCAGTTGTAGGGCTTCTCACCTGGGATGGAATGAAGAAACAGTCACTACTCTGTATGCGACGCACACACATGCTAATCATAGCCTTGATTGCTCGGTCGTCCATTACATTAACCTGTAGGCTAATAGACGACCAATGGAGGCTAACTGCTAAGCCACACACATAAACCTACCTGTGTGTTTCCTTATGTGCAACTTCAGATCGCGATACTTTCCCATATGCCCTGACACAGCCATCAAACGTAACCTACAAAACGTGTCGCTTCGTATAGCCTCTTATTGCGCGGTCGTCCATTACATTGGACTGTAACAGACTAATAATAGACCACCAAGCATGGAGGCACGCGCGTGCGTCCACGTGCACCAATGCCGCATGTTGATTTGTCCATCCACACAGACGTGATCAGGACACGCAGGTTGAAATATCAAAACTAACTCTGAACCAACTATATTAATTTGGAGACAGGTCGAAACACATGAAACATTCATGGACAGTTAGCTAGCTAGCTTGTACAAGTTCCTTTCTTTTGCTGGATATCTGTAGAATTTTGCCAAATTTTGAGTCACACAAAATCATGTGTTCTCTACTCCGACAATTAATCCACAGATAAAAGGGGAAACCTAGTCCATTTTTAGTAATCTCTCCTCCTTTAATCTCCTTCTTCTGTGGATTTTATATGGCGGTTGGCAACCAACTGGACTGGAGTGTGGACCGCAGTTCATCTTTAAATCACCCACATGGGTATACAGTGGCTTCGGAAAGTATTCAGACCTTTTCCCTTTATCCACATTGTTATGTTACAGCCTTATTATAAAATTAATACAATGATTTTCCCCCCTCATCAATCAACATCCAATACCCCAAAATGACAAAGTAAAAACAGGTTTTTAGAAATGTTTGCAAATTTAGAACAAATTTAACATACATTATTTACATAAGTATTCAGACCCTTTGCTATGAGCTCAGGTGCATCCTGTTTCCATTGATCATCCTTGATGTTTCTACAACTTGATTGGAGTCCACGTGGTAAATTCAATTGATTGGAAATTATTTGGAAAGGCACACACCTGTCTAAATAAAGGTCCCACAGTTGACAGTGCATGTCAGCGCAAAAACCAACCCATGAGGTCGAAGGAATTGTCCGTAGAGCTCCAAGACAGGATTGTGTCGAGGCACAGATGTGGGGAAGGGTACCAAAACATTTCTGCAGCATTGAAGGTCCCCAAGAAAACAGGAAGGAAGGAAGAAGTTTGGAACCACCAAGACACTTCCTAGAGCTGGCCGCCCAGCCAAACTGAGCAATCGGGGGATAAGGGCCTTGGTCAGGGAGGTGACCAAAGACCACTTTGACAGAGCTCCAGAGTTCCTCTGTGGAGATGGGAGAACCTTCCAGAAGGACAACCATCTCTGCAGCACTCCACCAATCAGGCCTTTATGGTAGAGTGGCAAAACAGAAGCCACTCCTCAGTAAATGGCACATGACAGCCCACTTGGAGTTTGCCAAAGGGCACCTAAAGGTCTCTCAGACCATGAGAAACAAGATTCTCTGGTCTGATGAAACCAATAATTAACTATTTGGCCTGAATGCCAAGTGTCACGTCTGGAGGAAACCTGGCACCATCCCTACGGTGAAGCATGGTGGTGGCAGCATCGTGCTGTGGGGATGTTTTTCAACGGCAGGGACTGGGAGACTAGTCAGGATCGAGGGAAAGATGAACGGAGCAAAGTACAGAGATCCTTGATGAAAACCTGCTCCAGAGCATTCAGGACGTCAGACTGGGGTGAAGGTTCACCTTCCAACAGGACAACGACCCTAAGCACACAGCCAAGACAACGCAGGAGTGGTTTCGGGACAAGTCTATGAATGTCCTTGAGTGGCCCAGCCAGAGCCCGGACTTGAACCCGATCGAACATCTCTGGAGACCTGAAAATAGCTGTGCAGCGACGCTCCCCATCCAACCTGACAGAGTTTGAGAGGATCTGCAGAGAAGAATGGAAGAAACTCCACAGATACAGGTGTGCCAAGCTTGTAGTGTCATATCCAAGAAGATTCGAGGCTGTAATCACTGCAAAATGTGATTCAACAAAGTACTGAGTAAAGGGTCTGAATATTTATTAAAATGTGATAAACGTTTTTAATTTTTTATACATTTGCAAACATTTCTAAAAACCTGTTTTTGCTTTGTCATTATGGGGTATTGTGTGCAGATTGATGAGGGGGAAAAAAACAATTTAATCAATTTTAGAATATGGCTGTAACGTAACAAAATGTGGAAAAAGTCAAGGGGTCTTAATACTTTAGGAATGCACTGTATGTTCCTAAAAAACAATGAGGGGATGGGAGAGACGGGACTTGCAGCACATTCCCCGTGCATTCCCCGTGCATCCCGCAAAGGCGGAGGTGTTGCTAACATTTACGATAGCAAATTTCAATTTACAAAAAAAAAAATGACGTTTTCATCTTTCGAGCTTCTAGTCATGAAATCTATGCAGCCTACTCAATCACTTTTTATAGCTACTGTTTACAGGCCTCCTGGGCCATATACAGCGTTCCTCTCTGAGTTTCCTGAATTCCTATCAGACCTTGTAGTCATAGCAGATCATATTCTAATTTTTGGTGATTTTAATATTCACATGGAGAAGTCCACAGACCCACTCCAAAAGTCCTTCGGAGCCATTATCGACTCAGTGGGTTTTGTCCAACATGTCTCTGGACCTACTCACTGCCACAGTCATACTCTGGACCTAGTTTTGTCCCATGGAATAAATGTTGTAGATCTTAATGTTTTTCCACAAAATCCTGGACTATCGGACCACCATTTTATTACGTTTGCAATCGCAACAAATAATCTGCTCAGACCCCAACCAAGGAGCATCAAAAGTCGTGCTATAAATTCTCAGACAACACAAAAATTCATTGATGCCCTTCCAGACTCCTTCTGCCTACCCAAGGACGTCAGAGGACAAAAATCAGTTAACCACTTAACTGAGGAACTAAATTTAACCTTGCGCAATACCCTAGATGCAGTTGCACCCCTAAAAACGAAAAACATTTGTCATAAGAAACTAGCTCCCTGGTATACAGAAAATACCCGAGCTTTGAAGCAAGCTTCCAGGAAATTGGAACGGAAATGGCGCCACACCAAACTGGAAGTCTTCCGACTAGCTTGGAAAGACAGTACCGTGCAGTACCGAAGAGCCCTCACTGCTGCTCGATCATCCTACTTTTCCAAATTAATCGAGGAAAATAAGAACAATCCAAAATTTCTTTTTGATACTGTTGCAAAGCTAACTAAAAAGCAGCATTCCCCAAGAGAGGATGGTTTTCACTTCAGCAGTGATAAATTCATGAACTTCTTTGAGGAAAAGATCATGACCATTAGAAAGCAAATTACGGACTCCTCTTTGAATCTGCGTATTCCTCCAGGGCTTAGCTGTCCTGGATCTGCACAGCTCTGCGAGGGCCTGGGATCGGGAGAGACACTTAAGTGTTTTAATACTATATCTCTTGACACAATGATGAAAATAATCATGGCCTCTAAACCTTCAAGCTGCATACTGGATCCTATTCCTACTAAACTGCTGAAGGAGCTGCTTCCTGTGCTTGGCCCTCCTATGTTGAACATAATAAACAGCTCTCTATCCACCGGATGTGTACCAAACTCACTAAAAGTGGCAGTGATAAAGCCTCTCTTGAAAAAGCCAAACCTTGACCCGGAAAATATAAAAAACTATCGGCCTATATCGAATCTTCCATTCCTCTCAAAAATTTTAGAAAAAGCTGTTGCGCAGCAACTCACTGCCTTTCTGAAGACAAACAATGTATACGAAATGCTTCAGTCTGGTTTTAGACCCCATCATAGCACTGAGACTGCACTTGTGAAGGTGGTAAATGACCTTTTAATGGCGTCAGACCGAGGCTCTGCATCTGTCCTCGTGCTACTAGACCTTAGTGCTGCCTTTGACACCATCGATCACCACATTCTTTTGGAGAGACTGGAAACCCAAATTGGTCTACACGGACAAGTTCTGGCCTGGTTTAGATCCTACCTGTCGGAAAGATATCAGTTTGTCTCTGTGAATGGTCTGTCCTCCGACAAATCAACTGTACATTTCGGTGTTCCTCAAGGTTCCGTTTTAGGACCACTATTGTTTTCACTATATATTTTACCTCTTGGGGATGTTATTCGAAAACATAATGTTAACTTTCACTGCTATGCGGATGACACACAGCTGTACATTTCAATGAAGCATGGTGAAGCCCCAAAATTGCCCTCGCTAGAAGCCTGTGTTTCAGACATAAGGAAGTGGATGGCTGAAAACTTTTTACTTTTAAACTCGGACAAAACAGAGATGCTTGTTCTAGGTCCCAAGAAACAAAGAGATCTTCTGTTAAATCTGACAATTCATCTTGATGGTTGTAAAGTCGTCTCAAATAAAACTGTGAAGGACCTAGGCGTTACTCTTGACCCTGATCTCTCTTTTGACGAACATATCAAGACTGTTTCAAGGACAGCTTTTTTCCATCTACGTAACATTGCAAAAATCAGAAATTTTCTGTCCAAAAATGATGCAGAAAAATTAATCCATGCATTTGTTACTTCTAGATTAGACTACTGCAATGCTCTATTTTCCGGCTACCCGGATAAAGCACTAAATAAACTTCAGTTAGTGCTAAATACGGCTGCTAGAATCCTGACTAGAACCAAGAAATTTGATCATATTACTCCAGTGCTAGCTTCCCTACACTGGCTTCCTGTTAAGGCAAGGGCTGATTTCAAGGTTTTACTGTTAACCTATAAAGCGTTACATGGGCTTGCTCCTACCTATCTTTCCGAGTTGGTCCTGCCGTACATACCAATACGTACGCTACGGTCACAAGACGCAGGCCTCCTAATTGTCCCTAGAATTTCTAAGCAAACAGCGGGAGGCAGGGCTTTCTCCTATAGATCTCCATTTTTATGGAACAGTCTGCCTACCCATGTGAGAGACGCAGACTCGGTCTCAACCTTTAAGTCTTTACTGAAGACTTATCTCTTCAGTAGGTCATATGATTGAGTGTAGTCTGGCCCAGGAGTGTGAAGGTGAACGGAAAGGCTGGAGCAACGAACAGCCCTTGCTGTCTCTGCCGGGCCGGTTCCCCTCTCCACTGGGGTTCTCTGCCTCTAACCCTGTTGCAGGGGCTGAGTCACTGGCCTGCTGGTGCTCTTTCATGCCGTCCCTGGGAGGGGTGCGTCACTTGAGTGGGTTGAGTTACTGACGTGATCTTCCTGTCTGGGTTGGCGCCCCCCCCCCCTTGGTTTGTGCTGTGGTGGAGACCTCTGTGGGCTATACTCGGCCTTGTCTCAGGATTGTAAGTTGGTGGTTGGGGATATCCCTCTAGTGGTGCGGGGGCTGTGCTTTGGCGGAGTGGGTGGGGTTATATCCTTCCTGTTTGGCCCTGTCCGGGGGTTTCTTCGGATGGGGCCACAGTGTCTCCGGACCGCTCCTGTCTCAGCCTCCAGTATTTATGCTGCAGTAGTTTATGTGTCGGGGGGCTGGGGTTAGTTGGTTTTACCTGGAGTACTTCTCCTGTCTTATCCAGTGTCCTGTGTGAATTTAAGTATGCTCTCTCTAATTCTCTCGTTCTCTCTTTCTCTCTGAGAACCTGAGCCCTAGGACCATACGTCAGGACTACCGGGCATGATGACACCCTGCTGCCCCCAGTCCGCCTGGCCTTGCTGCTATTCCAGTTTCAACTGTTCTGCCTGCGGCTACGAAACCCCTACCTGTCCCAGACCTGCTGTTTTCAACTCTAAATGATCGGCTATGAAAAGCCAACTGAGAGACCTGAGCCCTAGGACCATACGTCGGGACTACCGGCCGTGGTGACTCCTTGCTATCCCCAGTCCGCCTGGCCTTGCTGCTATTCCAGTTTAAACTGTTCTGCCTGCGGTTATGGAACCCCTACCTGTCCCAGACCTGCTGTTTTAAACTCTAATGATCGGCTATGAAAAGCCAACTGAGATTTATTCCTGATTATTATTTGACCATGCTTGTCACTTATGAACATTTTTGAACATCTTGGCATGGTTCTGTTATAATCTCCACCCGGCACAGCCAGAAGAGGACTGGCCACCCCTCATAGCCTGGTTCCTCTCTAGGTTTCTTCCTAGGTTTTGCCTTTCTAGGGAGTTTTTCCTAGCCACCGTGCTTCTACACCTGCATTACTAGCTGTTTGGGGTTTTAGGCTGGGTTTCTGTACAGCACTTCGAGATATTAGCTGATGTAAGAAGGGCTATATAAAATAAAATTGATTGATTGATTGATCAAGCGTTTAAAATAGAACCAAGTTCATTTTAGCGTTTGGCTACACAGACGATCGTTGACTCGCGCGAGCAGTTTGGATGAAATGATTGAATAACATGTATGTGAACATTTATTTTGCAAAGCTCGCGCACGCAACGCGGCCGGTGTGGTCAGCATGTACATGTACTGCTAAACTACGCACATACCTGTGTGTGTCCTTATATGCGACTTCAGGTGAGACAATTTCCCGTAGGCCCTGACACAGCCATCAAAAGTACAAACATGTCGCTTCTTTTTAACAATTGGAGAGTGCGATAATCCGTGTCGCTCACCAGCTGGCATGAGCGATATGCGCGCGAGTATGGATCCAGGCGTCGGTGTGGAATTTGGGGTTGGGTTGATGGAGTCGGACATCGTGTTATAGCCGCTTTCCCCGCATGAGATGTTGATGTCTGTATCAGTTCCTCCAAATGAAGTATTACTATACTCCTGCAAGGCCAACATAGGCTGAAACCTTCCATGCTCATCAATAACCCCGGCAACGGCCATGATGTTGACTCTTCTTCTTTTTCCTCGTCGTCTTCTTCTTCTTCTTCTTCTTCTTCTTCTTCTTCTTCTTCTTCTTCTTCGGTATTATGGGGGTCCGCAAACATACGTTAGAAGTGCATGCCGCAACCTACTGGATGGGGTGAACGCTGAGAAACTTTAGCATAAATAATATAGTAAGGGGGGAAAAACATACTCCTAATTTTCTACAAGTAAACCAAAAACAAAAATGTACTCTTTCAGTCGGATTCCAATGTCTACTCAGATCTTTACACAGCCTCAGGAGCATGAGAGAGTGGGACATGATTCAATATTCCCTGTAACGTTTCGGCCGTGAAGTCCTGGAGATCCAAAAATCTTTACACTGCCTTCACAATTAATGTCTAGTTTCTTAGATGTTGTATTAGTTTGTCCAGTGCAATTCATCACTTGTGTAATAAATGCAACAAAGTCAACCTTCCTCACTGACTCACACCTTGCACCAAATTTGGATCTAGCAGGGGCTGACTGGGAACAAAAATCGACCCTGGCATTTCTAACACACTGGCCCATTTTTTTCCTTGAGGCCCCCATTATTAGCCAGATAATGATAATTTTTAGCAAAAAACCCAAGTTAGACAGGCCCGCTGGGCTAAAAATGGACCAGCCCATCTGGCCTTTCGGGCTGCTTTTTATTAAATGAAAGTCATCATATATTACAACAAAACACTGAATGAATGCATAATAATTGCTCAATGTGCATTTCTCCTTTGCCAAGATCATCCATCCACCTGACAAGTGTGGCATATCAAGAAACTGATTAAACAGCATGATCATTACACAGGTGCACCTTGTGCTGGGGACAATAAAAGGCAGTTCTAAAATGTGCAGCTTTGTCACACAACACAATACCACAGATATCTCAAGTTTTGAGGATGTGTGCAATTGGCATTCTGACTGCAGGAATGTCCACCAGAGCTGTTGCCAGAGAATTGACTGTTCATTTTTTTACCATAAGCCACCTCCAACGTCGTTTTAGAGAATTTGGCAGTACTTCGAACCGGCCTCACAACCGCAGACTACGTGTAACCATGCCAGCCCAGGACCTCCACATCCGGCATCTTCACCTGCGGGATTGTCTGAGGAGGGCTGGGGGGGATGCTGAGGAGTATTTCTGTCTGTAATAAAGCCCTTTTGTGGGGAGAAACTCATTCTGATTGGCTGGGCCTGGCTCCCCAGTGGGTGGGCCTGGCTGCCAAGTGGGTGGGCCTATGCCCTCCCAGGCCCACCCAGGGCTGCACCCCTGCCCAGTCATGTGAAATCCATAGATTAGGGCCTAATTAATTTCTTTCGATTGACTGATTTCCTTCTATGAACTGTAACTCAGTAAAATCTTTAACATTGTTGTATGTTGCGTTTATATTTTTGTTCAGTATATATGGCATTTATTCAGTGATTTTGTCCTGTAGCTCAGTTGGTAGAGCATGACGCTTGCAACGCCAGGGTTGTGGGTTCGATTCCCACAGGGGGCCAGTATGGAAAATGTATGCACTCACTAACTGTAAGTCGCTCTGGATAAGAGCGTCTGCTAAATGACTAAAATGTAATGTAAAAATGTCTAATATATGTGTTTATTCATTCACAACTAGGATGGGTAGCACTTTACTTTAAGGGTCCGTAATAAACCATTTATAAGGCCATTTATAAATGTGTGTTCACCATTTATTAATCATTACTCCCACGTTAATAAACAATTTAGTAATCATTAGTAAAGTATTTTTGCAGTCCCTAATCTAAAGTGAGTGCTATTTATACTTTATAAATACTTTATAAATGTTTTGAGTGACCAGTGACATTTCTCACACAGTACCTGGTAAAGAATAAGTACACAACACAGGATGTTTAAGGAAATATATATACATGTGTGAATAACTAGCTTACAAACATTTACAAATGTGGGAGTAATGATTAATAAATTATGAGCAAACGGTTTGTAAATGCCTTATAAATGCTTGTTTATTATGGATCCTTAAAATAAAATGTTATACTAGGGGATAGCTGGGCCCAGCACAGGCAGTGTGGCCACCTGGTCTTCTGGTCCCAGTGATGCTAGGCTTAGCACCACAGACAGCTCAGCTGCTGCTGCAGTCAAGTGCAGTGGAGGTAGGGAGAACAGAGTGAGAGACAGACAGAGACAGAGTGCACAGCAGAGAAGATGCAGAGTCAGACTGCACAACAGGGAGGCAACAGAGGCACAGTTATAGTGGTGAGTTGTATCTCCAGTGGTGTTTTTACATGAGCTGGTTAAAAAAGGTGGAGGACTATGTTTCACCGGTCACTGGTACAGTGTACAGCCTATGTTATGTGTCACGCGCGTGGTGAGGTGGACCGGTGTGGCTAAAATGCCAGGGCACATTTTTTGTCCCAGTCCGCCCCTGATTGCTGTTGCTCTTAGATGGCAACAGAGCAAATGGGCACCTGCCAATTGAATCTCAACAAGGAAGGTGGTTGTATTTGATTGTTTATGGAAAAAGTATAGATTTCAGCAAACAAAGCAAGGCACTCAACTAGAGGACAAACGTAGGTACAAGGTAAGCGTTGCATCATTTTATTTTTATTGATCTTGTGAGAATCGATGTCTGAGCTGAATTCTACAAAGGCTGGTCTCTGCTAAAGAGGAAGAAGCTAAGCGAGAGGAATAACTGGGCCAAAAATCTGTCTTTCCAGCAGGTGGCATTGTTCGTTTCTTTCATTCACCAAGCGAGGGGTTTTTGTATGGAGGTCAATGAGAGTGTCGAATTTGGTCAACAAAAAATGGTATGGTTTATTTGATGGAATAGAAGTTTCGTAATACTTACTTAGGTTGTTAAGAGTGTACTGATATAAGTAGGACAGGTGACATCCCGGCAACTTTGAGAAAAAAAACTTTATATCAGAGTTTTCTCAAGATGGCTATGCATATTCATGACATGAGGCTAGTTGCATGGCATTTCACTCCATTGAATACAGGTGGTTGATGTCAATACCCCTCATAGAATATTCAAAAAAGTATCAAAATAAGGAGATGTATCCACCAATCCAAAGAGAGAGGAATAGGCAGGAGTTTGACAGCCTGCCGTTCCGCTCTGTCGACAACGAATCAAATTGTTAGGGCGTCGTTATATCCACATCTCTGACTCTGCTCCAGTTAATCAGAAACTTCCTTCACCGTGGAGTTTAGTCAGCGACGTAAATACCAGACTGATTCACGCTGCGCTATCAAATTGGCGGGATTAGGCGGCTTTGTAAAACTAGATGCCAGGAGCAGTAAAAACGAGTTTGTTCCGATAGTATAGATATCTAGCTAGCTAGTAGATTTACATCATCATTCGCTATGATCAGCTGATAGCAAAACTTTTCCCGATTTTAATAATCTCTAGTTAGTAGGCCTAGAAGTCACTGGCACTAGCTTTTTACATTGTGTGATGAGTGATTGTGTTGTTGTAGAAAATAAATACCCCCCCCAGAGTGAACCAAAGTATTTTAATAAACAGAATGCAACATTGTACTCAATGGTCATTGAATGCACAGAGGACTCCTACTAAGTGACCCAAGCTGTTGTTGATTTAGGGCTAGATTTGATCAGATCCGATCAGCTGACACCCACATAAAGGTTTTGTTTTGTCAGAGGTGGAACTGCATTAGAGCTGTCAAATCCACAAGGGGACCCTGGCATTAGGGGAGAGTGGGGTAAGTTGACACATTTTTGTACCACTTCCTTTTTAAAACCATGTCTATCTTTATTACCCAAACACAATTCAACACAATCACAATCACTTTTTTGTCTTTTAATCATCTTAAGCATATTTTAGCACAGGCTTAACACCTAACAAACACTTTGTACTTTTTAAAAACACTTTTAACGTAGGCCAGACCCTGTTGTTACCTCATATCCCAGCGATAATGCCTTGCATTACACCTGGGAAGAAAACACTTCAATTTGCTCAACTTAACCCATGGCCATTGGCTCAACTTACCCCAAGGCAAACATTTTGACTATATTAGCCCACACAGCTACAAGGATGCACTTTCATGCTAGGTTTAGGACCTCATATTGAAGCTTATAGAGACCGACTGATGAATAGAACAATATTAAAATAATCTACTTTGGTTTAGATACAAGCATCATGAAACCTCTAACACAATACATTCATTTGACTTGGTGGAAATCCATTTTTGGGACTTAACTTGCTTTCCACTTTTTCCATGTGGTTTCTTCCTTCACAGACTCCAGGAAATGGTGACCTCTTCCTAAATATTTGGTCAAATGATACATGTTGTGTATGGTTTCCCAGAAACAAGGGGGGCTCAGCTTACCCTTTGGCTCAACTTACCCCACTCTCCCCTATACCTAAAGTGAATATTGCCATTGGCTGTGAGAAAAAACCCATGCAGCCTTGTTTACAAAATTTCACACGGGAATGTGAGATGTAATCTACACCTTGATTAGGCTGATAGAAATCCTCGTTATTTAGTTTAATTATTTTTTATTTGAGCATCATTATTTCTATATAGCCAACACTTTCTCGTTCTGAACTTCTAATGCGAGTGGGACAGGTGTTGCTTCGTGACAATGATCAGAAGAGCAGCTTCTCACTGATTTGACAGCTCCAACGCAGTTACACTTCCGACACCGCCAAAACATCAGCTATGTGGGTGTCGGCTATTGCCAGTTAATGGTTGATCTGATTGAATCTAGGCCTTAGTCAGACTTTCAGTACCGTCAGTATCCCCTGGCTGGTTGTCCTTCTCATTCAGGCAATGACTCTAGTCAATGACAATTTGCAGTATTATTAATGACCGGTGGTTAAATTGAGCCCAAGCTACCCGGAGCCAGGCTCCTGCACCTTGGCATAAAAAGTAGGATAAAGGTACAATAAACCAGGGTTAAGGTTATGGCCAGAGTTAGGGTTGAGCCAGGGTATGGACATTAAACTAGGGTTAGGATTAGAGTTATGGCTAGGGCTTAGCCAGGGTGTGGACATAGGACAAGGGGAAAGTGTGGAGAGACATGACAGTGAGCATGGCTCAACCCTAATCCTAACCCTCCCCTCAAATAGGGCTTCTCCACCTCTGAGTTCCCAATTCAACCCCTGTTCATGACCAGAAGGTGGTGACATGACCTCTCTTTCTGCTTCTGCTGAATGAGATGCAGAGACACTGTCAACACAGACAGAATAACAACATGTTCATAGGTATTTTTGCAGTTAATTAAATCATTAAAGCAAACAAACACCGCACTGTGCCCTCATAATAGCTAGCTACTGTTTGTGAATGGTCAGAGGGAGCAGTAATGCTGTCCTGTACTGTAGGCTACTGTGGCCTCGTCCTCCTCCTGTCCAGCAGCACAGGTCTTCAGGGCTCAGAAGCGTATCTCCATATCCGCCCTGTCTGTCTCTTTATGAAATTCATGTGTCTTGTATAATCCTCTGTTCTTGACAGTTTCTCCTCTTCTATCTCTCTCTCTGTTTCCCCTGCATGCCTGAGCCTTCTTGACTGATACCTCTTCAGACAGGAACAGCAAAACCTAGAGAGGAATTTCCTATATTTTCCTATAACCAGAGCATGGTGCACACCCTGGGATGATGTACTGTACTGAATAGTGAGCTGAATGCCTCAGTATCTTGTCTACCTGTTCATACATACAGTACATGCATTGGCTCTCAGTATCTTGTCTACCTGTTCATACATACAGTACATGCATTGGCTCTCAGTATCTTGTCTACCTGTTCATACATACAGTACATGCATTGGCTCTCAGTATCTTGTCTACCTGTTCATACATACAGTACATGCATTGGCTCTCAGTATCTTGTCTACCTGTTCATACATACAGTACATGCATTGGCTCTCAGTATCTTGTCTACCTGTTCATACATACAGTACATGCATTGGCTCTCAGTATCTTGTCTACCTGTTCATACATACAGTACATGCATTGGCTCTCAGTATCTTGTCTACCTGTTCATACATACAGTACATGCATTGGCTCTCAGTATCTTGTCTACCTGTTCATACATACAGTACATGCATTGGCTCTCAGTATCTTGTCTACCTGTTCATACATACAGTACATGCATTGGCTCTCAGTATCTTGTCTACCTGTTCATACATACAGTACATGCATTGGCTCTCAGTATCTTGTCTACCTGTTCATACATACAGTACATGCATTGGCTCTCAGTATCTTGTCTACCTGTTCATACATACAGTACATGCATTGGCTCTGGCAAGGATTTTTTGTGACCAGGTGACATTAAATGTGACATACTGTACATTAACTGTGTTATAGACTGAAATGTTACCGTTGACCGGAGATGTGTCTGTGCTACACAGAGAAAGGTTGACATCCCAAGTTCGTGGGAATAGTGCAGTAGTTTACATTAGTGATACATTTAAAATAACAGCAATACACAGGCTAGTCTACATAGTCTATTCAAACACTGTGTATTTTGCCCACTCACAAACAAACTGCAGAGTGAATAAAAACATAGATTTGGTCAAGACGTTTTATTAGTTCAGAACTTTAGCCCACCACCACTCCAGTTAGATGAAAGGCCAGGTACAGCAAAGTGTAAAGCCAGACAAGTGTAGTCAGATTCGTGTGTAACAGGGCCAGCCTGCTAACTGCTAATACAAGGTCACAGGATCTACAGGCTGACTGTCTCAGGGGAACACTGTCCTCCATCATGGCCATCATGCTTCTTGGAAGGAATCTGATGGCAAATGATTATGACAGTGTGAGTGTGGGGGTGGTGCCTTGCATCACATACACATTTTGCACACATATACATACACATGGTGTGTTTGTGAGTGACATCATTGGAATTGACAGTACTCCTGGGTACAGTATGTCAGTCTCCAGCCTGCATGCACACAAATAACACGTTTTCAGACAGCTGTAAGATTACTTTATTCCTGCCCATAAACCACATCTGTTATTTTTAAATTACAATAATCATCCTTTTTAATAATAAAAAAATATGTACTTGTGAATTGTATCTACACTGCCAACAGCAATATCTGTCTTCCACATGTTGCAGAGTCTTGGTTCATCCCAGTCTCTCTCACATAGTCCCAGCATGGTGTGGCTTTTCAGCATCTCAGCCTGCTGTTATGCTATTAGCCAACAGATAGCCAATGAGAGAGCGCTGAGCGGAGCAGTTTAGTGTGTATCCAGTTGGTTGGGTCTGTGAGTGTGTGTGTGCAGTGCACCTGCCTGTGCAGTGTGTGTCCGTCCAGGTGTGTGTGTGTATCTATGTGTATGTCCGTGTGTAAACAAGTTTATGAGTCTATCTCTTCTTCCTCAGAGTTCGTCTCGTGTGGAGCGGGCAGCGGGTGGAGGTGAGTCTCCCGTCACACTGTTCTGGGCCACGGTGTGGATGCGGCCTTGCTGTTCTGTCTTCCTGGCGTGCTGGTACTGGCGGTCCCAGTCGGTGGCAGTGGCCTCGTCGTCCCAGATGGTGGAGGTCTCTGTGTCGCTGACATAGCCTGGCTCGCCCGTGTAGTGGGTGGGGTAGAGGAGGAGGGGCTCCACAGAGAAGGCCTTCAGGTCCCGAGGCTCAAAGTGAGACATGAAGTCAGAACTGATGGAGAGAGAGGGAAGAGGGTTACATGACACGTCATCAAAGAGAATCACACACTAAGGGAGAGAGGAGGACAGAGTAAACTGTTTAGTGCACCATGCAAAATGATAGGGGTGGACAGAAAGGAGAGGGTCATATATGGTAATTCAGCACTGCTGAATCAGCACCACTTGGTCAAAGTTAAGCATGGACTCTGTAGTGAGAGAGATTGGATCACAGAGAGGTCAGAAACACATAATCAGAGAGCACTGTGTACATGTCATCAAAGTGAGCCAGTGGGAGGGCAGAGACTTCCAGCATCTGTCAGAAAGGAGCGCTGATCATGACACTTTAACATGTCATCAAAGGGAGCCAGAGAGTGGTAAAGAGGTGCAGAGGGGAGAGAGGAGCGACACGTCACCTTCAATCAGTCAGGCCCTGTCAGCCAGAGGTCAGCTGGTAGAGGTCAGCCCCCCTGCAGCTGTTTAGACAGTGCCAGCACAGAGAGAGTAAACTGATGCCTTTATTACTGGCCAGGGAGTTGAACCCTGAGAGGCTGGACTTAGTCTGAGTGTTTGATCCTCTCAGAGTTGGCAGAGCAGAGGAGAGACCCCAGGGCATCCCTAACTCTCTCTCTCTCTCTGACATGCTCTGGTCTATATTTACATAGTGATTTCTACTCACACAGACATGCACGCACGCATACAAACGAATACACAGAAGCATGCACACGCACGGATATACATACACACACTCGCACATACACACTCACTCCTGCGTATTTATATAGTAACACACACACACACAAATCTACACCCCACCCCCATACTCAGCTCTGGCTCAATGGGAATCCTGTCCCTCTCACCAGCAGCAGGAAAAAACATTCCGGTCCCACATTCCTCAAAGAAAGAAAAAGAGAGAGAGACAAGGAGAGAGAGAGGTAGGGGAGAGACATGAGAAAGGGAGGGAGAAAAGTGGCAGGGTAGCAAGGAGAGGCAGAGGGCAGGGTGCAGAGACAGAGAGTACCCATTGATCCCTAGGAACAATCCCTGGCCTGTGTATCAGGGACCCACTCTATACAGGAGAGAGAGATGGGGAGACAGAGGTGAAGAGAAAAAGAGAGCGAGAGAAAAGGAGAGTGCAAGAGAGAGATGGAGTGGGGGAAATGGGTTGAAGAGAATGTGTGAGGGAGAAAGAAGAGGACGAAAGGGGGTAGGGTGGTGTAACTCTAAAGCACCAATAAGGAACACCACTCACCATACCACAGAGTTACTGTTAAGTGTTAGAATAATAGAATACACAATTGTTTTTAGATTGGTAAATTAGTCTAGTGGCCAGCTATCTAAACATGTAATAAGTGTGGTGGAATTACCAACCGGGGTGGGGCCCATTGATCATATTAAAAACTGCAAACATTTGCCTCCACCCTATGGCAAAATGTGTAGAATTGCAGGAAATAAGCTGTAAACCTGAAAATTTTTCTCTTGTCCCCCTGTCTGTCTCCCTGTCTGTCCCCCTGTTTGTGTTAGCCTCGGTGCAGTCAGCCAGTCCCTTACTTGGGGTGTTTGTTGAACATGACGGGGAGGAACTCATCAACAGGTAACATCTTGCTGAAGGCCTGAGCAGCCAGCAGTTTCTTGGCGCCCTGCGCTGACAGAGCATAGCCCAGCGTCCAATAAGAGTAGTCCGCCTCCACCAAGTTATTAACCCCTTCCACTGAACGCTCCGGCTGACGCACCTGCATACGCTTACGCCCCACATAGCTGGAGAGAGAGAGAGAGAGAGAGAGAGAGAGAGAGAGTAGAGAATAGAGAGCGAGATAGAGAGCGAAGAGAGATAGAGAGAGATAAGAGAGATAGAGAGAGAGAGAGAGAGATCTAGAGCGAGCTCTCTCTAGTCTCTCGTCTCTCTCGTCTACTCCTCTCTCTCGCTCTCTCGCTCTCGCGCTGCTCTCTCTCTCTCTCTCTCTCTCTATCTCTCGCTTCTCTCCTCTCTCTCTGCTCTCCTCTTACTGCTCTCTCTAGAGAGAGAAAAAACACACACATTCATTGGACACTGTGTTAACAAACCTCCAAACGAGCTTCAACGCCATACAACACTCCTTCCGTAGCCTCCAACTGCTCTTAAACACTAGTAAAACTAAATGCATGCTCTTCAACCAAACGCTGCTTGCACCCGACTAGAATCACTACTCTCGGCTGGTCTGACCTAGAGTATGTGGACAACTACAAATACCTAGGTGTCTGGTTAGACTGTAAACTCTCCTTCCAGATTCACATTAAGCATCTCCAATCAAAAGTTAGATCTAGAATCGGCTTCCTATTTCGCAACAAAGCCTCCTTCACTCATGCTGCCAAACATGCCCTCGTAAAACGGACTATCCTACCGATCCTTGACTTCGGCGATGTCATTTACAAAATAGCCTCCAACACTCTACTCAGCAAATTGGATGTAGTCTATCACAGTGCCATCCGTTTTGTCACCAAAGCCCCATATACTACCCACCATTGTGACCTGTACGCTCTTGTTGGCTGGCCCTCACTACATATTCGTTGCCAAACCCATTGGCTCCAGGTAATCTATAAATCACTGCTAGGCAAATCCCTGTTTTATTTTAGCTCACTGGTCACCATAGCAACACCCACCCGTAGTCTGCGCTCCAGCAGGTATATCTCACTGGTCATCCCCAAAGCCAACACCTCCTTTGGCCGCCATTCCTTCCAGTTCTCTGCTGCCAATGACTGGAACGAACTGCAAAAATCTCTGAAGCTGGAGACTCTTATCTCCCTCACTAACTTTAAGCGTCAATTGTCAGAGCACCTTACCGATCACTGCACCTGCACATCCAAATTAGCCCATCCAACTACCTCATCCCCATATTGTTATTTATTTTGCTAATTTGCACCCCAGTATCTCTCTTTGCACATCATCTTTTGCACATCTATCGTTCCAGTGTTAATAATTATTTTGCACTATGGCCTATTTATTGCCTTACCTCCATAATTTACTACATTCGCACACACTGTATATATATTTTCTGTTGTATTTTTGACTTGTAACTGTGTTGTTGTTTTTATTGCACTGCTTAGCTTTATGTTGGCCAGGTCGCAGTTGTAAATGAGAACTTGTTCTCAACTGGCTTACCTGGTTAAATAAAGGTTAAATAAATAAATAACAATAATTTAAAAAATACATAAGCTCACAATTAATAATTACACATCATAACAATGCTACTTGTTACATCGTTCTTACATGAGATCCCAGTCCAGCTGGGCCTTCTCTACTTCCTCCATGATGGTCATCATTCGCCTCTTAAATCTGGGCTCAAACCTCACATCATCCTCCAGCACCAGCACCTTGGAAAGACCACGCTCCGCCATCTGACAACAGCACAGAGAATAAGCCGGAGTCACAAATATGCAAGAGGACACAACCACTATTGACATCGACAGGCTGCAATGGATAGGGTCAAACGCTTCAAGTTCCTCTTCACAGAGGACCTGACATGGGTCAATCACACCGACACTGTGGTGAAGAAGGCGTAACAGCGCCTCATGGGCCCTCAATTCTCAAGTTCTACAGCTGCACCATCAAGAGCATCTTCACCGGCTGCATCACCGCCTGGTATGGCAACTGTACTGCCCTCAACCGCAAGGCTCTACAGAGGATGGTGCGGACGGCCCAATACATCACTGGGGGCAAGCTCCCAGCCCTCCAGGACATCTACACCAGGCGGTGTTTGAGGAAGGCTCGGAAGATCGTCAAGGACTCCAGTCACCCGAGCCATGGACTGTTCACTCTGTTACCATCTGGCAAGCAGTATTGGAGCATCGGGTCTCGGCCTAACAGGCTCCAAGACAGCTTATACCACCAGGCCATCAGACTGCTGAACAGCTAAACCTAGCTGTCTCCCTGCACAGGCCTGCACCTTAGAGACTATATGCACCTTAGTGACTATCTGCACCGTAGAGACTATTTGCACCTTAGAGACTATTTGCTCTGACTCTCCACACATCCAACCCTTACACACAAACACACACAACCACCCATAAACAAGCACACAGACTCCCACACACACATACTGTGCAGTCAACGTTGCTGTTCTATTATATATCATCTTTTCAACTGCGCGACAAACACACTACCCATTTTCTATTTGTAAATACAGTCATACTTGACATAGCACATTCATTATCTACAGTATACTGTATATCCTATTGTGTACATATCAGGCTATTCTATTTTTTATTTGACTATTATTGATATAGATTATTGTACTACAATGTAGAGGGAGCTGGCCCACAAGCATTTCTCTGCACATTTTATACCTGCTGTGTATGTGAGGAGTAATATTTGATTTGATTTAGTGAGGTTGGTTGAGCACACCTGTACCCAGGTGGAGTGGTGGCTGAGGAAGCAGCCTATCTCTCCTCTGGTTAGAACACGGCCAGAGTATGGGTCCTTATAACCTGGAATCATCTCTATACCCAACGTCTGCAGCTGAGAAGTGTTCAGAGCCCTGAGAGAAAGAGAGGGATTGTGATCGATGAACAGAGAACTAATGTAAACCATAGTGTCCCATGCAGCTGTGCAGTCCTGTGTGTATGTGTATGTGTGAGACCTACTTGCCATCCACTGCGTCAGTGAGGGTGGCCTGCAGACCCAGAGAGGCCATGGTGCTCAACATCCTCTGTCTCCTGTCCAGACGACGTTTAAGATTGATCAGGAAGATCTGAGACGGAGGGAAGGAGGGGGCAGATAGTGAGGAAGCAATCAGGAGGAATAGAGAGCGAGGGGCCAGCGTAGGAAGGAGGGGAGAGACATGGGGGTAGTGGAGGAAGGAAGAGCAGGAAAGGGAGGGGGAGAAATGAATGTCACATCAAAGAAAGACAGATGAACTCTCAATATAAACCAATTCCTCTAAACAGTCAGGGCCAGTGTCTTACTGTACCTCATCAAAGCCCATCTTGTCCTGCGGCATATGGGGATTGTACAGGTACTCTGAGGGCGCTATGTTGTGGTCAACTGTTAATAAAGACAGAGGAGTCAGAGTTAGAGTTAATACAGCAGCATGGAATCAGAGAGAGTATTTCCTCTAGGGTCACACTGGTTTATTTAGCATTTCCATCAGCAGAGAGAAAACTGTGGGAGGGTGAGAGGCGGAAGGGAGGAAGGAAAAAGAGAGAGAAACAAAGAGTTAGTAAGGCACTGCAGCAGGCCTGAGACTGTTCTAGAGGTAGAAGGAAAGAGTGAAGGTCTATAGATACTCAAAGACGATCAACTGTAACTCTGGTGATAAGCATCAGGTCAAGGTTAAGGATAGGTTTTGGCTTAGGCCTTAGGGTTAGTGATAAGTTCAGGGTAAAGGATGTGTTTTGGCTTAGGCCTTAGGGTAAGGATTAGGGATAAGTTCAGGGTTAAGGATAGATTTAGGCCTTAGGGTTAGGGATAAGTTCAGGGTTAAGGATAGGTTTTGGCTTAGGCCTTAGCGTAAGGGTTAGGGATAAGTTCAGGGTTAAGGATAGGTTTTGGCCTATGCCTTAGGGTAAGGGTTAGGGATAAATTCAGGGTTAAGGATAGGTTTTGGCTTAGGCCTTAGGGTAAGGGTTAGGGATACGTTCAGGGTTAAGGCTTGAGTCAGGGTTAGTGGACCATCTTTAGGGGGACTCTTTAAATTCTGTGTTACAAGACAGTTTGTGATGTGTTGGCAGTGAGGTCAGAGAAGAGGCGATAGTAAAATGGGAGATAACAGAGATGAAGGATCCTTTTGAAGGAGATATAGAAATCTGACAAAGTAAAAGGGGTGTTTATTTTGATTTAGAAAGTAGTGTGTGTGTGCGTGTTTGTGTGTGCTTACTCATGGCCTCAGCGATGGTGTGTGTGAAGCTCTCCTTCTCCTCGTCAACATTCTGCGAGGCCTTCAGTGGAACCGGCAGGAAGCCATAGTGTTCTCTGTTACACACGTACATCTGCACATCTGTCAACACACAGTCACACAGAGTTAATCAAAAACCCACTGACATCTGGACATCTGGAAAAAACACTGCTATACACAAAAACACTGTAACCTGATTGTACAGTGCCTTCGGAAAGTATTCAGACCCCTTGACTTTTTCCACATTTTGTTACGTTACATCCTTATTCTAAAATTGATTTAAATCGCTTTTTTCACTCATCAATCTACACACAATACCCCATAATGACAAAGCAAAAACAGGTTTTTAGAAATGTTTGCTAATTTATTACAAATACAAAAATGAAATATATACATTTACATAAGTATTTAGACCCTTTACTCAGTACTTTGTTGAAGCACCTTTGGCAGCGATTACAGCTTTGAGTCTTCTTGGGTATGACGCTACAAGCTTGGCACACCTGTATCTGTGGAGTTTCTTCCATTCTTCTCTGCAGATCCTCTCAAGCTCTGTCAGGTTGGATGGAGAGCGTTGCTGCACAGCTATTGTCAGGTCTTTCCAGAGATGTTCGATTGGGTTCAAGTCTGGGCTCTGGCTGGGCCACTCAAGGACATTCAGAGACTTGTACCGAAGCCACTACTGCATTGTATTGGCTGTGTGCTTAGGGTTGTTGTCCTGTTGGAAGGTAAACCTTCGCCCCAGTCCGAGGTCCTGAGCGCTCTGGAGCAGGTTTTCATCAAGGATCTCTCTGTACTTTGCTCCATTAATATTTTCCTCAATCCTAACTAGTCTCCCAGTCCCTGCCCCTGAAAAACATCCCCACAGCATGATGCTGCTACAACCATGCTTCACCGTAGGGATGGTGCCAGGTTTCCTCCAGATGTGACGCTTGGCATTCAGGACAAAGAGTTCAATCTTGGTTTCATCAGACCAGAGAATCTTGTTTCTCATGGTCTGAGAGTCTTTAGGTGCCTTTTGGTAAACTCCAAGCGGGCTGTCATGTGCCTTTTACTGAGGAGTGGCTTCCGTCTGGCCACTCTACCATAAAGGCCTGATTGGTGGAGTGCTGCAGAGATGGTTGTCCTTCTGGAAGGTTCTCCCATCTCCACAGAGGAACTCTAGAGCTCTGTCAGAGTGACCATCGGGTTCTTGGTCACCTCCCTGACCAAGGCCCTTCTCCACCGATTGCTCAGTTTGGCGGGCGGCCAACTCTAGGAAGAGTCTTAGTGGTTCCAAACTTCTTCCATTTAAGAATGATGGAGACCACTGTGTTCTTGTGGACCTTCAATGCAGCAGAAATTTTTTGGGATCCTTCCCCAGATCTGTGCCTCGACACAATCCTGTCTCGGAGCTCTACGGACAATTCCTTCGACCTCATGGCTTGGATTTTCCTCTGACATGCACTGTCAACTGTGGGACCTTATATCGACAGGTGTGTGCCTTTACAAATCATGTCCAATCAATTTAATTTACCACAGGTGGACTCCAATCAAGTTGTAGAAACATCTCAAGGATGATCAATGGAAACAGGATACACCTGAGCTCAATTTCGAGTCTCATAGCAAAGGGTCTGAATACTTATGTAAATAAGGTATTTCTGTATTTTATTTTATTTTATAAATTTGCAAAAATGTCTAAAAACCTGTTTTCCCTTTGTCATTATGGGGTATTGTGTGTAGATTGCTGAGGAAAATGTTTTATTTAATCCATTTTAGAATAAGGCTGTAACGTAACAAAATGTGGAAAAAGTCAAGGGGTCTGAATACTTTCCGAAGGCACTGTATCTGCGATCAAGTGCATGCTGGTAGACAAACTGCAGCCACACACAGCTAAGCATAAAGAATGTCACATACTGTATATCCACAGGAAGACTCATTAAGCACAATGATATAAAGAGGAATATACTAAAACCCATTACTACTGGAAACTTTTAAAGAGCATGGCCCTGTGTGTGGCAATGTGTGTGAGAGTTGTGTGTGTTTGTTAGTGTATGTTAGTGTGTATTATTGTGTGTAAGTGTTTGTGCATTCGTGTTATGTATTTGATAGTTATGTGTTTACTATTTCTGTTTGTACCATACAGATCATTAGCCACATCAAATAATCCCACACAATCAGTCAAGTCAGAAAGACACACATCTGGTGCCAAATACCCAGCCTGCCTTGACTCCCTCCATTAAACACACGGTGGGTTCTATTGTAAAACAGGTCTTCAACACAAGACACAGAAGTACCCTCAGAACTATTAAAACACAGAGAACTACCCTTGCTCTCCCCTAGCCCCTTTCGTATTTGCAGATCTGAAGCAATTGGACAGGAGAATATAATAATATGGCAAGAGCTTCCTACAATACCCCCTGGGCCTGAATGGAAAGCTGGGTGGAGCCATAAGGACTTTGATTACACTGTGTTGGTGGTCGGAACTAGGGGTTGTTTCTGAACGAGGCTGTATGACTGTTTACACAGTTGGTACATGGGTGGGGGAGCTATAGTGTCTTGTACTCAGGGCTATGTTTTTACAACACATCCAACAACATGTACTAGGGTGTTGTGTCTGGACAGGATCATGGTGACCACACATGGCGGGGGGTGGGAGGGAGTTAAACTCTGACCTGCCTGTCGGGCGGAGAAGGAGAACACCATGATGTCATCGAAGGCCCAGCTGTAGTCAGGGTGAGGGGGGTAGAAGGCTAGCTCCCGACTGGCGTCACGCCTCAGGTCCAACAGGAAGGTAGAGTGCATCATGGGTACGGCGAAGCAACCCAGACGCTTCCACTCCCTGATTGGCTGGTAGTCTGGAGTACGCTTATAGTAACCCTGGGAGTCAGAGATAAAGGGATGGAGAGAGGGGGTTGAAAGGAGAGAGGGTGGGAGAGGGGGACGGGAAATGGAGATAGAGAATTGGTCTTAAAGATGCAATCCGGGATCTTGAGCACAACAAACTCGTAAAATATTGTACGAATTAGATTCGTAACATACGAATTGCAAAAAAAATACAATAATTGCAGGACGTAACATATCATATGATATGGATGACGTAGTACACAATTGGATGACATAGTGCACAGAAATCGGGGACCCATTTTGGCTCGTGAGCAGCACTTTCAAAACAACTGGCTGAAATTATACAAAAGTTCTGGAGCATCACTTTAAGAGGTGTGGAAGGTATGTGAAGAACAGAAACCAAATGGTCATAACATTCACTTGCTTGCTGACTGAGAGAGAGGGCGCATAGAGAGGAGTGAGGTCTATCTGGGGCTACATGGCTATTGCAGGTTGTTTACCTGGGGAGTGATGCCACACCAGAAGTTGGAGTAGAGAGAGCGGGACTCTAGCATGGGAGCAACCAGAGTCAGGTTCTCAGCCATGAGCAGGTTCAGGATCCTGGGGTTGGTCAGCAGGTTATCACTGTCTGCAAACTAGATACACGGAGAATGACAGAACAGGATAATCTCACAGAACGTAATCTAACATACATGTAATATTGCAGGTATACAATCTAAGACAACCGGAGACAGAGAGAAAGCAGGTATCATCATTCACATACAATTATACCACTAACTAAAGTCACACGTAATCTCACAGGTATAATATTATCTCTGTCTCACCAGTATATAATCTGCCCAGCGTTCCCGTGCTGCCTTCAGAGCAGCCTGCCTCAGCTTCATCACATGGTTGAAGCGGGACGGAGGCCAGTGCTTGGGCCCCCACTCATCTGTATAGGACCTGAAGACAGGACAAAAAGCTTTACGGTCAGTACCTCATATTCACCATCCCTTAATGAGCAGTGAACTTCAAAGATGTAGAAAATGAAGGAATGTGAACCTGAACAGAAGGGGTGGGGTGAGATTCCCTGAGACTGGTCAGACACTGGGGGGGGGCGTGGTCAGAGGCTGGGGGAGACTGAGCAGAGAGTAAAGTAGACTTACTTGGGCTCCTCCATGGGTCTCCACTCCACATAGTGGTACTGGTCCTGGGCCTGCTTCAGCCACTCCCTCAGCATGGCTGTGCTGTTGTCCACACTGTGGTCTGTCGCTGCCCTGGGACACAACATAACATGGGACACTATATCAACACAACACACATAACAATGCAGAAACAAGACATTTAAGCACTAACTTTCTACATAACATATCAAGATAATGTGTCGACATGACACAGCAACATAGCTGCAGCTGATCCTGTGTGTGTAGGATCAAAACATGGACACACACAGTGTCCTGTGTGAGTCAGGTCCGGGGGACATTGTGGAAAGCTCCATGGTAGAAAGGCTGTAAATACAAACCGCAGAGTAAAAGGAGCGATGGACAAACAGGCCATAGCGTACAGTACTGCAGCTGGAACACCTCCATCCTATCCTCACACACTGCTGCCACTGTCTGCACACCGTGTGACCTGTCCTCACACATACTCACACCTACCCTAACTCTCACACACTCCTCCAGTCACACACTCACCCTTTCTTTCTCACCCCACGCTATCACCCTATCACTTCTAGTTGTAGCCCGACAGTAATAGCCTATGGCCTTGAGATGATAACTACAGTACACTCTTTCTCTGCATCTAATATGTGCTTAATGGAGGAAAAAGGCAATAGAGAGAGAGAGAGAGAGGCCAGTGTATCTGTAGAGAGGACGCTGTGTCACTGATGGCAAGCACACACACACACAAACTGGAGTTTTCCACTGCTTGCTGTAATATTCTTGGCTGTAACCTCTCCGGATAAACTCTCACCCTATGTTAGAGTGCAGACAGACCAGAGATAGCAGTGTATAAACACCCATTTTACAAAACCGCTGCTAACACTGTTCACCATGAGATAACACTGTAGACACAATTTTGTCACAGACAGTTGACTTGTTATTAACACCCAGACAGACAGAGCCAGTCCAGCTGGAGAGAGAATGTAGGCCTTACTGCCTGAAGGACCACAGGGGTAATCCTTGTGTTAATAACAACCCTGTGTGTGTCAGTGGCGTGTGTGTGTGTGTGTGAGTTCGTTCATGTTTGAGCCTGTGTGAGGAGGTATACATATACACTACCGGTCAAAAGTTTTAGAACACCTACTCATTCAAGGGTTTTTCTTTCTTTTTACTATTTTCTACATTGTAGAATAATAGTGAAGACATCAACACAATGAAATAACACATATGGAATCATGTAGTAACCAAAAAAGGGTTAAACAAATCAAAATATATTTTATATTTGAGATTCTTCAAATAGCCACCCTTTGCCTTGATGACAGCTTTGCACACTCTTGGCATTCTCTCAACCAGCTTCATGAAGTAGTCACCTGGAATGAATTTCAATTAACAGGTGTGCCTTGTTAAAAGTTAATTTGTGGAATTTCTTTCCTTCTTAATGCGTTTGAGCCAATCAGTTGTGTTGTGACAAGGTAGTGGGGGTATACAGAAGATAACCCTATTTGGTAAAAGTCCAAGTCCATATTATGCCAAGAACAGCTCAAATAAGGAAAGAGAAACAACAGTCCATCATAACTTTAAGACGGTGGAAATGTGTCCTTTGGTCTGGAGTCCAAATTTGAGATTTTTGGTTCCAACCGCCGTGTCTTTGTGAGACGCGTGTGGGTGAACGGATGATCTCCGCATGTGTATTTCCCATCGTAAAGCATGGAGGAGGAGGTGTTATCGTGTGGGGGTGCTTTGCTGGTGACACTGTCTGTGATTTATTTAGAATTCAAGGCACACTTAACCAGCATGGCTACCACAGCATTCTGCAGCGATACGCCATCCCATCTGGTTTGGGCTTAGTGGGACTATCATTTGTTTTTCAACAGGACAATCACCCAACACACCTCCAGGCTGTGTAAGGGCTATTTTACCAAGAAGGAGAGTGATGGAGTGCTGCATCAGATGACCTGGCCTCCACAATCCCCCAACCTCAACCAAATTGAGATGGTTTGGGATGAGTCGGACCACAGGGTGAAAGGAAAAGCAGCCAACAAGTGCTCAGCATATGTGGGAACTCCATCAATACTTTTGGAAAAGCATTCCAGGTGAAGCTGGTTGAGAGAATGCCAAGAGTGTGCAAAGCTGTCATCAAGGCAAAGGGTGGCTATTTGAAGAATCTCAAATATAACATATATTTGGATTTGTTTAACACTTTTTTGGTTACTTCATGATTCCATATGTGTTATTTCATAGTTTTGATGTCTTCACTATTATTCTACAATTTAGAAAATAGTAAAAATAAAGAAAAACCCTTGAATTAGAGTAGGTGTTCTAAAACCTTTGACCGGTAGTGTATGTTTTATGGTAATGTCAGGCATTTCAAAACAGTGAGTGTGTGTGTTTGCACGACTCGGTATGTGGATGTAAACTGTAAAGCAGGGGTGTCAAACTCATTCCACGGAGGGCCCAGCGACTGCAGGTTTTTCCTTTCAATTAAGACCTAGACAACCAGGTGAGGGGAGTTATTTACTAATCAGTGACCTTAATCCATCAATCAAGTACAAGGGAGGAGTGAAAGCCCGCAGACACTCGGCCCTCCGTGGAATGAGTTTAACACGTGCTGTAAAGGATGAGTCCTGCTTCTGACAACTGGTGTTTGTCTTTGTCACTGGGTAAAAACACCTTTAGTGGAGGTAATGAGTGGATGTGCACACTCTTTGACATGTCTTTTTCAACCATGAAATTCCATATTGCTGGAGGAAATAAATGTGTTGGTACCTGTCATTTTCAAATGAAAGACATACAGTAGCTCTGGGCTAGGATTTGAATAGGGTGGATCTGTGATAAGCTCAGAAACAGAAGAACCGCCATATGTTCTGTATGAGGACGCGTGCATGTGTGTTTGTGTGCGTGTGCATGTGTGTTTGTGTGCATGTGTGTTTGTGTGCGTGTGCATGTGTGTTTGTGTGCGTGTGCATGCAGGAGCATGCGTTTACATTTCATTCCTTTGTTCCCTTGCCATCCTTACACAAGTCAGTGAGGTCACAGAGACAAATATGTTAGATGGATTGTATCTCATACTAACTAAAACCTATTTAGTAAATTCCTCACCATGCTCATTAGAACACAGACAAACAAACAGATGAGAGTTAGGTTAGGTTTCCACATTCCCCACTAAAATGCTAACGTTTTCACATCTGGCCATAATTCCAGAAGGAGCCTATTCAACCATCTAGCAGTTGAAGGTTTCTGACTGTACTTCATTCTTCACTAGCACAGCCCCTTTCAGCCATAACACACAGCTCTGTATTATAAGTACAGTATGATATTTTCTATTACGGAAGCAGCATCTCATTTTTCCTTGTGTAAGATAACAGTTGGTATGTGTGTGAGCGCGTGTTTGGATTCTATGGGCCTGTACAGGCAGAGGACAGGCAGGCACACAGGCCGGGTTTTCTATCTTTCACCTTTGTGTCTCTTCTTTCATTTATTTAGGTGAATCTTCATCATTCCATCTCCTCTCTCCATCTCTTATTCCACACATGCATGTCCTGTTTCCAGCAGGATCTATCCTTTCCAGGCTTCTCAATTTCCTCTCCCCAGGGCTGAATCAGCCAAGGAGGGTGTAGAGCAGTAGCTTGAGTCCCTGGCCATCCCCACATTCCCCTAACCACACTCACATGCACTGCAGCCAAGCCTGGAATTCAATGGCAATAATGTGCGGATGGAAAAATGTGCTTGTATCTTTTTAAAAAGAAATCTGTACACTCATAAGTGCACATAGCGGCATAACGTGTGTGTGTTTTAGCACTTCTGTGCATGTGTGTGTGTTCTGTATGTTTGAGAGAGAGTGTTAAAGTGTCAGCTCCTGCTGAGTTTTGAAGGCGTTTAACAATCCGGTGCTCTGGGGGTTTGGACTGGACACTCATCCTGTCTTCCTCCCTCCCTCTTTTCACTCATCCGTCACTTTGTTCATCCACTCTACCCTCTTTGAGGTTTACAGTAACTCCCTGGCTTATTATTTTCAGTCCTGGAGCGCCGCATCTCTACCTTCTCTCTTTATGATCCTCATCTGGACACCACATGCTATTAGGTTTCACCTACACACCCTTACCATCTCTTTCTCTCTCTATCCCTCTCTCCTCTATCTATCAGTCCCACCTGGAATGGTTATGCCATTCATCAGTGAGGAGGGGGTGTGATGAGCTGACATTGAGAGAGATCAATGGGAGGGGTCAGGGGACGGAAGGGTTACACCTGGCCCAAAAACACTGAACAAACACTCAAGTGAAAGTTACGAGGCCTAAATTCCTTCCACCGTATCTGCATTGGATATGCCCTTTTACTGTAGCTAGTGTTAACAGATATAAATCACTGTACCTATGTGTGTGTGTGTACATTCACTCTGCAGTAACTCCCCTCCCCCCAGGCTTCCAAATATAATCAGTCAGAAGAATCTCTGTGTCCTTGCCCTCTGTCCTACCCCACATACGTCCTGCACAAAAAATATAAATTTGAGTCATTTAGCAGACACTCTCATACAGAGCAACTTACAGGAGGAACTAGGGCTAAGTGCCTTGCTCAAAAGCACATTGACAGATTTTTCACCTAGTTCTCTCAGGGATTCGAACCAACAATGCTCTTAACCACTATGCTACCTGCAAATCACGTTCACCCATACATTTACACGGTCGATTTTGACATACATTGAATACCCTGGTCCCTAACATGTCATTTTCCACACTTAGTCACTCACATGAAATACACAGACAGCAAAAAAAGTATTTCCTACTCAGTGACGTCTAGATAAACGCAAAGTGATAGTAAAACACACAATCACAATAATTTTATTAGTAAGGGTAAATGAGAAAGACAGAGAGAGAGGCAAGGGAGGGAAGGAGAGAGGGAGAAAAGGAGGGATATAGAGTAGGATAACGTGAAAAGAGGTAGTACAGTGTGTCTCTGTGGTTAAGCCAGGGTGATGACACACACAGACAGACAGACTTGGCTAAAATTATAGTTCCTCTGTGACAACATGAGGGCCTTCCGGCCACTGCTGAATACATAATGTAATACATAATGTCCTGTCCTTGTAACATCCCTCAAAACACTTTACCTAGTTTCCCCATCTCTCTCTCTCTCTCTCTCTCTCACCTCTCTTTCTCTCTCGGTCTTTCTGAAGAGAAATTGAATGCTTTGCCTGTCTGGATGCCAGTCTATTTCAGCATTAGCCAAATCAATTGTTGGCCTGCTAATATATGCTGGAATAGATGGGCATGCAGGAAGAAAAATTCACAATTTTTTCCAACTCCACCTCTGGAACTATTGGTCAAGAGACAATCACTTCCATGCTAACAGGCCCCTCTATGTGAGGACTCTGATATGTTTCGGTTCTCCTCTGGGGATTCGCTGACACTGACACATGGCCAGGGCTGTTCTGAGTACAGCCACAACTCCTGGCAGTGGACATGGAGCTGTTCTCTCTGCTGGCAGACACAGGTCTGGGGATAGTTCCATCTCCTCTCAGGTTTTCTGAGGAAACCACTGACTGAGTATTAACACTCCTTAGGTGAAAATGGTGTGTGTGGAATGAATCAGAAGTGTATGTTCTGTTGTGTGAGTTAGGAGGTGGTACTGGCTCTGTTGTATGAGTAATGGAGTTCCTGTGTCACTCAGTTACTGCCTTCACTAAGCACAAGTCTGGCCCAAGGCTAGTAGAAATACACAGATACACACACCACCACATGCAGACCCCAACAGACTGACACTGGGCCAGAGCACTAAGGATAATCAAACACACACTCACATACCAGCCATGTACCAGCCATGTACCAGCGATATGATCTAATCCACAAAGAGAAAGAGATCCCACAACATCTTCTCCTGTCTTCCTCACCTGTCCTTTCTGTAAAACAAACACTCCCCAAAATGTCAAAGGCTCCCCTCCTGACATGATCAAAAAGACATCCATTGGGGCCCTCCTCCCCAGACCTGACAGAAGAATTAGAGTGATGAGATTCATCTCCGATCAGGCCTGGGGTGACACACATGCACTCAGTTGGATCAAGGCTCTACACTCCCAGCAATATTCTACACAGCACAATGGCATTCTAGGAGATGGAACAGAGATCACCCCCTCTGAGAAAATAGTTGGAGGTTGGAATGCTGGATCCAATATTGTTATCCGGTAGAAAGGGAGCTTTTTGGAAACAAGGGTCCTGTTGGAGTTGGCAGCACTTAAAAAACTCCAAAACGCTCCTGGTTTATCTTTTACTATAATGGCATTATACTCTTTGAAAACATTAAACTTCTGAAGAACATCCACCTGCTACCTATCTCCCCACCAGAGGATGGGACTCTGAGATATGGAATAGAGATCGAGATCCCAGCCTCGTAAAGAGAAGATCTGCAGCAGAGCCAGTAACACAACATACCATCATCCTGTAAAAACTGACAGTGAGAGCTATAAGATACAGACACATTTCTCATCATGTCCTTTAAAGTTTACAATGTTGTTGGCAACCGCTGGAATTCCTCTGTGATAACGACACTACATAAATCTAATCAAATGTATTTGTCACACACAGTTTACAGCAGGTATAAAAGGTGCAATGAAATGCTTATGTGCCAGCTCCATCAACAATGCAGTACATTCATCAATAATAACAATGAGTCAAGTCAAAAATAGCAAATATTAGAAGTAATAGAAAAGGTAGTATGCATAGTAATAACGGACTGGATTTCCAAATATAATGTGGGCAGTGGAATCAGTTGTATATATTAGAACAGCAGAGTTGACTTTGTGTGTGTGTGTGTGAGCTCTTAGTGTGTGTTTATGTGTACATTTGTGTGTAAGTGTTGGATGTGTGGGTAGTCAGTACAAATAATTTCTAAGGTAATAATGTATAGGTTATCTGGTGTAAATAGTCTCTAAGGTGCAGGTCTGTGCAGGGAGACAGCTAGGTTTAGCTTTTCAGCAGTCTGATGGCCTGGTCCTAGAAGCTGTCTCAGAGCCTTTTGGTCCAGGACCAGATGGTAACAGATTGAACAGTCCGTGGCTCGGGTTACTGGAGTCCTTGAACGAGGTCCCGTGTAGCTCAGTTGGTAGAGCATGGCGTTTGCAACGCCAGGGTTGTGGGTTCGATTCCCACATGGGGCCAGTATGAAAATGTATGCACTCACTAACTGTAAGTCGCTCTGGATAAATGACTAAAATGTAAATAATAGCTAAGGCACACATGGTTTAGATGGTATTCTCAATCATATACAGTATCATTGAAAAATGATTGTTGTGGTTCAGACTTTTCTGTTGTGGTTCATATTTCTTGGTGTGTGCATCACATTATCATCATCAAAGATGTAATATGGAAAGTATAGAAACAATAATGGATTCTATTTATTAGGCTATTTCACACAAACAAAGTTCAGAGAACAGCCTCTGTTGTCACAGTCCTGACATTCTCTATGTCGAAACACAGCAACAAATCATCTCTCTTCAGTTCACCTTCACCACCTGGAAAAGCACTTCCCATAAACAGCCCACAGACTCAGCTCCAGGCTACTGAGTTACTCCTGAACACTGCCCCAAGGATGACCTCAACCTTCTCCTCCAGTCACAACACAGAGTCATGACCTCTGGCGACCAATCACAGGGCTGAGTCACATTCCATCAATCAATCATTAGCCTGGGTTCTGGCCTGTGTCCAATCATTGGCCTGCGGCCAGCTTAGTGTTGTCCTGAGGGAAGTGGAAGGAGGTGGGGGGAGAGAGGGGAGGGTACAATGTTTGAGCATGGCTGGAATGTGGCTTCACTCACTAACCTGCTCAGTGCCACTGGGTAGTTCTCAACACAAGCCTACCGACCACCCTGCCTCCGCCCCGTCTCCCTCTTTCCCCTAATTCCCTGCATTATTTCGCAGCATAGTGAGAGACTCTCTCACCTCTCTCTTAGTCCTCTCTGTCAGACTCAGATACCTCCTTTTGATTTTCAGACTACTGAAGCCTTCTATGGAGAGAGTGCGTTATCTCAACCACTCTTTCTCTATCAAACACAGACTGCTCTTCATCCAGCCATCACGAGAAGAAACTTGCATGTGCCCCTAAATACACACACAAACGCACACACACTAGAACAGTGACAGCTTCCTTGTCCCAGTGGGAGAGCAGGGGGGAATTGAAAGGTGAGCAGTGTCCAAGCTCGACCCTTCAACCCCAGTACAAACACACGCACGCAAGCACACACACGGCCTTGGGCCTCGCATCACAGTAAATCAGCCACTGGCACCAGGTCTGTGGCCAGCAGAATTTTATTACACAATCAGCTTTTATTTCACAAACCATAATTCTACCACTTGTGTGGCTTTTCACTACCTCTCTGCTGTTTGTTTATACAATGCATATGTATTTCTACATTTGAAAACACATTCTCATGGGGACCTGGTTCCACCTTTGATCCAATTAGGTAGTTTGTAAAACAGAATGACAACATTTGACATTTGTTGTGTGTTGTATGACTTTTACAATACTGTCATACAAGGATGGGAGGAGGCTGTTGGCTCATGCACTTACAAAACAATTAAATGATCAAAGCAACAGTGAGCATGGATTTTCCTCTCTTATATAAGAATCGAGTGAAATACACCACCTAGAAACAGTGAGATTTGAGGCAAGCTTGGGAGAAAAATTGTTGACTACTTTTCGAGTCTAGGTCTGGCAGATTGTCATACTTACAAAATTATTCTTTATGGTATAGTCATTATCAACACTGAACATCTAGGCTGCTCAACCACCCAATAAATGTGTCTTTGCCAAACACTTCTCATTGGCAGTCAGTATTGAGAGCTTGCAGAGCTGTACTGAGACCTTATCGGTCCTGACTCAGAGGAAGCTTCCAGACAGACAGTAGAGTGCAGCAGCAGCGGCAGCAGACAGATCCTATACAGCAGGGAACATCAACTAGATTCCGGCACGGGCCAATTTTTTCTTGAGATCGTCGGGCAGCCAGAATGTAATTATAAATCATTTGTAGACTGCAAATTGACCGCAAGAAGCCCAAACAGATATAATATTTGATTAAAACATAATCATTTCAAACCTTGCTTACATTTGTATATGGTCTCTCTAGCATGTGTTGGAATACTTGGGAACAGATTTCCTAAATTAAAATCACTTGGAGCTGATTTCCTGGTGTTTTTACAGTCTTTTATGTCCAACAATGAAAATCTTTGCTCAGAAGACTTGGGGGACCAAATAAAACCACCCACGGGCCAAATTCAGCCCGCGAGCCGCCAGTTGGAAACCCTGCTATAGAGTCTGCTGCTTCTATACATCTGGCTGTGCTGTGTGGACATGATGTTCCACAGCTGGTTCCACCCTCGGGCTACGCTGAGACTTTTCTTCCCTTCCTCAATTACTTTGCTTAGTGCTCAGTCAAACTCAAACTGTTTTGACCGTCAGGAAAGCTATGGAGGTGAGAAGAGAGATGAAGAGAGAGGTAGAAAACAGCGTGTACAGTGGTAAATATTAGAGAATCTGTGATATATAGTGTTTCAATCTGCTTTATGCTCTCATGTAAGGTCAGGTGAACTTCACTGTGCATATTTTTATAAGTCAGGTACAGTACACTATAAGTAAACTGAACTGAATCCAAACATTTACTTTCATGTGGAAAATCTAAATGCCTCTATAGGATTAAATCTGGGGCAGATGCATAAAACAAAGTTTCAGGCTCAACTGAGCAGAGCCCTGCTCCAAACAGAACCACAGACTCCATAGCGTCTGATTCTACTGTCTCTCTCCAGTGAGTAGCTGTGTGCTGGATGCCACAAGTGGGATTGACGGGTCTAGGCCCCTTTCTTTGTTAGTTAAAGGTCTCCACATAAACATGTTGGCTCAGTCATTTGGCCGTTTACTCTGGGGGAAGGGTCCTAGTGGGTCTAGACCTAGTGTGTGTGTGTGTGTGTTGGGAGGAGCATGGCCTCATTGAGAAGCAGACAGACATAAAGCAGCAAACAAAAGCAAGCATTTGAAAGGATGAGTGGAACACAAAGGAATCCCACATGACAGCAATTCTGGGAGAAACAGAGATACTGCATTAAACTATCAAGTCACTCAAAAAGTATCCATGACGTGCAACAAAAGAGGTATGTGATGGGCAGTCTCCACATGCTTCTGTACTGACTTGTTCTGTCCCTGTAGACTAGTCATCCAGATCCCTCCATCTATCCTGTGATTCTCTCCCCAGCACTTTACACATGACTTCCTTAGTGTGCTAGCTGAGCTCCCACCTTCTGAGCCGCTCAGTGTCTGGTGTCCACTTACTCTCTCCCATCTCCAGGCAGGCTGCCTGCTGGCCATGCCTTACTACTGCAATCATGATCCTCAAACTAACTGCCTATGGAAAATTGATGATGGAGCCTTTTTTTTCTTTAGGGGCCCCCATCCCCCCATACCTGGCAGCTGTTTTAGGTCCCCTGATTTCCGCAGTGTGTGCGTAATGAAAAAGTGCACCATCATTAACATGCTCTACCTTTTCATCTTATCCAAACATGCAATTAGGAGCCCGGGAGACACGCCAGGAGAGTGCGTTGTAAAACGCAGCAACAGGTCTCGTTGACGCTAACAGCCGCATCTCTGTCCTTTACGTGGACAGGAGGTTCTTATTATAATACCCGACAACAATAACAGCTTTAAGTTAGGCTACTTCTATGCGTGCACTTTTTTGTAGCCTAATAATGTCCAAATCCAGAATTGTAGCGGGCCGCGCGGATCTATACGTGACTTGGTGCTGTATTGGAGACAATTTGGCCGAAAAAAGTTATTAGAAAGTTAGTTGCGTTTCTCACCATATAGCTATCCGCTCCTTCGGGTAGTCTAGCCTGTCGATGCAGCCCAGGTAGTGCGGCAGGCTGTGCGCCGCGTTGCGAGCCAGAATGGCGATCATGATTTTTGGCTTCAGAAGGGACGATTCGGGTCGGACCGGGTCCTGCACCAGAGTCGCCATTTCCGACATGGCACCCGGCATGAGGGCGACAAGCAGTGCGCAGAGCAGCCCGACTCCCACGGCTCCAACCGCAGGCATCATTCCCAGCATCATTCGCCGGCACAGTTATCCGGACCTGAGCTCCGCCGCGACTGAATATGAGAGTGAGCGTTAGCGATGGTGGGAGTGAGAAAATAAGGTATGAAGGGGGAGGGGATGAAGTGTATGATGGAGGGAGAGAGAGGTTACCTCTAGAGTCTACCTCCTCCCCCAAACTTTCTTATAGCGTTCCTACAGCTTTCCCAATTCAACCCATCTCTCTCCATGGGAGACTACATGGGCGGTACAGGGGTTGATTACAGTGGGGAATCTGTGACAAACGTGCACATGTCCAAGAATAACTTAATTTCAGTAAGTAACGCATAACATTTCTTACTCAAATCCAGCACTTTACTGCGCTGTAGAACTGATAGCCTAGACACAATTGCTGTGTTTGTCAGTTCAAGTCTATGCATGTGCATTGCATAAACTGTATGCTATTCTGGGGGGAATATATGTATAAATGTGTAACTAACTCTTGTTACATAGGTTGTTTGTGGTTGTAAAGTCAGATTATTTTTAACAGCATGTGGTTTGACTGCTTAGGCATGGCTACATTGTCCTCCCTTCCTCCCTCCCTCTGCGGTTTCTATAACACTCCTCCTTTCCTCTCATGTATGGTAAGTACAGACAAACAGACAGGCAGAAGGACAGACACAGACAGATGGGCAAACATACAGCCAGAAGGACTGACAGACAAACAGACACTGTTTATTTACCCAAGAGTGAAGCCACCTGTTGATGTTTCCATTCTTGATTGAAATGGTCTAAGGAGTGTACATTACCATTAACACTGTAGTTGGATGGATGTTCCTGATGAGAGATGTCTGGACAGGAGTACTAAGTAGACATGTCTGTCTGTCCATTGTGTTGAAGCAGGTTCCAAGAGATCCAATTAGCTCCCCCTAGTGGCCCCAATACAGTAGCAGCGGTTGGAATCCATCAATGTTCCTTCACACAGTAATGATTATGAAGCTTTATAAAGTAATAATCCAAGAGATGAGCCTGACAATGTAAGCCACACCATGTATTAATTTATTTCCTGGCTTGACTTGTTTTTGTAGTCTGAAGACAACATTAGTCAATGTTCCTGAACTCAGATTACCAGATTTACAGTATGTTGTTTTGTGGCATGCCCTTAGTTACATTTTTACACAATTGTATCTATGCACTTGCATATAATTCAGACAGTTTTTTCTTGCAATGTCTGCATACCTCCTACTCTGAAATGTTTTACCATATGTTCTCCATTTTACCCCAAAGCATTTGCTTTACAATTGTCGCTACATACATCACATGCAGTCCTTTGTCCTTTCCAACCTTTGTGAAATGCAGAACTCCATGAACGGCTGATATTCCACTTCTGTTTGGGATAAATGCATGGTTTCATTTTGGCTGGAAGGGAAACAAATTCTAAATCACCAGTTCTACATGCTTCATGATGACTACTGCCAAGCTTATGATGTTCTAAACTGTGGTCCAACACGTTCCCTAAATGCACATAATGAGATGCAAAGGTTACTTTCGCAGGGAGAGTGTTCGATGGAAGAGACACCCCCCCTGCATCCAAGGTTGCTGCTTCCGTTGCTACCAGATATGCACGCCTGTAGTTTTTTTTACTCCCTCGACCAACGTCCCAAACCCCTAAAGGATCGCAGGAGATTTGCCTACTCGAAGCGGGGCTGGCAAAGAGATCATTAACGATGGCGGAGGATGGATGCCATGAAGAGGTACACAGCTGGATTACATGCTATTGTAATTCAAGTGCCTTCGATCACTTGCGATTGAAAATGTCCAGGATAACTGGCTTGATACAATCTATACTAGCTGCACATTTTATTATAACTGTTGTAGCACAACTAACCTGCTACTTACAGTATATGATATAAGTAGGGCGGCAGGTAGCTTAGTGGGTAAGAGCGTTGTGCCAGTAACCGAAAGGTCGCTGGTTCTAATCCCCGAGCTGACTAGGTGAAAAATCTGTCGATGTGCCCTTAAGCAAGGCACTTAACCCTAATTGCTCCTGTAAGTCGCTCTGGATAAGAGCGTCTGCTAAATGACGTAAATGTAAAATAGATCCACAATTTCAGAGCCACTCAAAATAGTAGGGTAGATCCTCGTAGTTTGTAAATGTAATGGTCCTCAAGTCAATGTAGTGGTCCCAAATTGTCAACAAATCATCAAGCCCTAAATGAGTTGAATGAGGCTAGCTCCCGAGTGGCGCAGTGGTCTAAGGCACTGCATAGCAGTGCTAGCTGTGCCACTAGAGATCCTGGTTCGAATCCAGGCTCTGTCATAGCCGGTCGCGACCGGGAGACCCATGGGGCGGCGCACAATTGGCCCAGCGTCGTCCAAGGTAGGGGAGGGAATGACCGGCAGGGATGTAGCTCAGTTGGTAGAGCATGGCGTTTGCAACGCCAGGGTTGTGGGTTCGATTCCCACAGGGGGTCTAAAAAAAATAATATGAAAAAATAACTAACTGTAAGTCGCTCTGGATAAGAGCGTCTGCTAAATGACTAAAATGTAAATGTAGGTATGTATGTCCCGGACTACAACAAAAATGTGTGCTGTTGGGGGTACTGGAGAACTGGAGTTGGGAAACACTGCTGTGGAACCCTGTAGAGCAGCCAGTGAGAGGAGAGGAATTATGCGCACCCAACATTTGCTCAAAAGCTGGACTGAAAAATATGGCTACAGAAACATTTACATTTTAGTCATTTAGCAGACGCTCTTATCCAGAGCGACTTACAGTTAGTGAATACATATATATATATTTTTTATACTGGCCCCCCTGGGAAACGAACCCACAACCCTGGCGTTGCAAACGCCATGCTCTATCAACTGAGCTACATCCCTGCCGGCCATTCCCTCCCCTACCCTGGACGACGCTGGGCCAATTGTGCGCCGCCCATGAGTATCCCGGTCGCGGCCGGCTGCGACAGAGCCTGGATTCGAACCAGGATCTCTAGTGGGACAGTTAGCACTCTCTGTTTGCTGCTTCCAAAAGTGTGTTTTCTGAAAGATTTCTGGAGCTGGTTGCCCAACAGAAGGTGCTCTCACTGTGGCCAACACACTCACAGAGAGGGGGAGGGAGGGTACGGGGGGGATCTGAAGTCCCATCCTTTAATTCTTCCAGGGCTCTCAGCCACAGATGGTGGAAGAAAACACTGCATGGGGTCAGAGAGTGTCTTAGAGACAAGTAGTCTGTCATGTACAGCCTCCTCTCTTCTCACAGCCATACATACCAGTGGAGGCTGCTGAGGTGAGAACGGTTTATAATAATGTCTGGAACGGAGCAAATGGAATGGCATCAAACACCTGGAAACCATGTGTTTGATACCATTCCACTGATTCCGCCCCAGTCATTACCACGAGCTCGTTCTCCACAAATAAGGTGCCACCAACCTCCTGTGAAACATAGTTGGGCCTACATGTACTATACCCAACCGGATGCTACTGTTCCCTCCGTATCATGTGAAGTAGATGCAGTATGTGACAGGCATTATTCCCAGTAGAATGCTACGGCCACATCCGGGAGTTCTCAGAATTCCCATGTAAAGAGCTTGGAGCACTTGGAGAGGCATTTGCATTCACAGAGTGCATTTCAATCCATTATAGTGTATCAGTAGCTGTGACTCCTCGGATCTGAAGGTTGTCTGCCTGAGTAATCCAGTGCATACGGAGCAGCATCTCAAGGCTGTATATAGAAATAGGGAGACAGTTGGAGAGGCAGCTACTGCAGTGGAGCTAGAGCCAGGTACTAAGAGCTGCCTGGTGGGTGTATTAGATGGGTAATAGGAGAGAGATGGAGAGAGGCAGATAACTAGAAGCTGCTGGATTGAGTTAACAGTAATAGCTGAGTGAAATCATGCTGGCAGAGAGCTAGAGTCTCACAGAGAGACCAGCCAATAAGGGCAATCATATAATATGCCATTTAGCAGACGCTTTTATCCAAAGCGACTTACAGTCATGTGTGCATACATTTTTTACGTATGGGTGGTCCCGTTACAAGCGCCATGCTCTACCAATTGAGCTACAGAGGACCACTGGGCACCTCCCCACTCCAAGCACTGCTCTATCACTCACTTCCCCTGGGATCTCACAGTGAGACACACACACACAGAACCAGTAGCCCCTCGTCCACACACTGGTCATACACAGTTCCACGTGATAAACCTCCAGGAACTGTGTGTGTTTGTGTGAGGTGTGCAACACACTGCAAAGTGGGCCTTAAACCTCTCTCAGCCAGACTGCTAGAACATGCTGTACCCTAATGAGAGCACACTCACAAGGGGAGGGAGGGGTTTATTGGGCCCTTACCTCATAGTGGAAAGAACATTGTCTTGCCCATATTCCTGTCTGAGGTTAACGGGCAACATCCATCTCTCTTTCTTTCTCTCTTGGTGGGAGAGATTGGCTGGCTGTGAGAACTAGGCCCACTGGGACTTTTTCCTCTCTCTGTGCTGCTGTACAGTGGCTGCTGATTATAACCTCATGTGCCCCTGTGAGAGAGAGAGAGAGAGACTGTGCGTGTATGTTCCGCTCCAGCCCCTTGGGAGGTACAGTAGCACAATAAACCTGACTACTATGTACTGGTTTCTAAATAGAAATCCACATCCATCCCAGTGACCACACTAATGACTCAAGGCAAACAGAGATCTCAGATCTTTAACATATTAGCTATCGATAGTTGTGAGAATGCATTTCATAATGTCAAACTTCCTCCTGCATATCCTTTAACACATATCCACTATGTCCATCTGTCTCACACTGAATAGGCTGTTTGTAATTAATGACGCCTCAGGTGCAGTTCTGATATTCTACCACCAGACTGCGCAAAGCATCAGTCTTGACCAGAAGTGGTCTTTCTCTGTTTGTAGAAACTGCAACATGGCTTTGGGACCATTACCAGAGGAAAATCAACTGACTTTTCAATCCAACGGTGATGTCAGCATGACTGGACTTTCCTTACTGAAACTGTTAACAACACACCACTTCTG